TGTGTTTCAAAATTTTAACTAGGTTTATTGCCTAGGTAATATTTTCCGTATGATTTAATTAAAACAGTTCATTTCCGAGCTTAGCTAAACTTTAGAAGCTCTTTCCAGGCTTCTTTTATGGTTCTACTTTCTGGGACCTCGAACCACTCAATAATCCAGTTTTAATGCATTGGTTGTCACGACTTTTTCAATAGCTTTTTTCATGATGCTTTCCAGTTATTGTTGCTTACTAGCCCATTAAGTCGTCTATCGCTCTCGAATTTTTGTCGAAAGGTACAGCCTTTGTGTCTGACGTTCTTTAAATATACTCTTAATTTTTTAACTCTATGACCTCTTTAATAATTTTAATCCGCAATGAACTGCTTTATGGATCTAGGTGGAAAGTTTAATAACTTCGTCTCAACGCAGTTTTTGACACACAACTACTTCTGAACTTCTTGTAGCTTCATTCCGGCCACACTCTATATAGCTTATTATGGCCTTATAATTTTTTATAAGTTTGCTTCGTTCCAAAAATTTAATAAGAAATACGGGTTATACGCTCCTCACATGGAGAATAATAAAATAATGGACGTCATTACTTTATATATCGAATTATACTAGACTAAACTAGACTTAGAAACAAACAAAAATAATTTTAACTTCTTTTGAGACTGAATAAATTTATATAAGGGGTAAAAAAAACTCTGTATTTATCTATATCTTTGTACAGACTAAGACAGTGACCATCCCCCCTCCAGTACAATAAAAAGATTTATTGCGGATTGTGTACTCGCTAAGATTATCAAATTTTGGAGATAAATTTTATGAAATTTATTTAAAGTAATTTTAGTAAGTGTTTAGGGCTTTAATGCTCCGCACTGTTAAAAAAGATTTTAAAAATATAATGTGTCCTCTCTCCATAGTCATCGCGCAAAAGACAGTAAATATATATTTTTCACCACAAATTTCAGTAGATCTTGTTTAGTTTGATTAAAATTTATCAGGAATGGTGACTTTTATTTAGCGGTATTTAAAAGAATTATATCATCACCAAAAACCTATTATTAGACTTTATCAGATGAGTAATTTTAACAATAATTAAAAATCATCGCAGAAGTTAGCATCTAGTTTAATCTAATAGGAAAAGTTCTATATTTGAGATTTGGGTAAATTATGCGGTTGGAAGGAGAGTATAGAAAAAAACCAAACGAAATTTAAAGGAAGGAGCGAATACTTAACGTACAATCTTTACATTACTAGATTGTTTTATGCATGTAATTACTCGTAGAAATACAGCAGCTTGCAGTCTCAGCACCTTCCTTTAGCTTTTGCACAAGCTATTTCCTAGGCTTTGTTTGCGCCCTTCCTGCGTCCTGTCAGAGGAAAAAAACGCGCTTGGGAGTTAGAAATAACACAAGTATAACATAACAAGGTAATAGAATTTAGAGAAGAAAATTTAAACATTTATTAAAAGAAGTATCTATATAATATCCAATAAACAATGATTTATGAGGCAATCTAGATATTTTAGATTAGTGAAAGTAAACAAGAACCGCATCGGTTAATCTAATTATCCCTCTGTCTCTTTATTTTGTTCTATTTAATTTTTATTTACTTCCTTTTTTTTCATTTTACAGTTTGTTCATGCTTCACTGTTATCCATAGTAAAAGGTTTTTACTGTGGCTATGATTCAGATATTTATAATTTCTGTGCCCATATTTGTAGTGTCCAGGTTTTTTGCTACTCTCTCCAGATGGTAAAGTATTTAATGGGTTGTATCATGTGCTAATCGGGTTTAGTTACAATTCCGTTTTCGAAAAAGCCCTGGTGTCTTTCAATACTCTCAACTAGTATATACTTCTGTTTCTCTCATTTGTTTCGAACTTTTAGCACTTACAAGATTTTGTCTAGGAGAATATAAATATTAATAGTTTTTCATTATCTTGTAAAAAATTATTGGGAATTTAATAGGTTTATTAGTGATTGTCTGGATATTCACGCCCGAAAATACCTAATAACATTTCTGTCTCATCTCACATGGATTTATTAATATTTATCTCAGAGAAATAACACTTATTTTACACCAATAATATCTAAGCAATCCCACTAAGTAATAATTTAAATATATAAAGGCCTATAATCTTTTAGAGAAAGTGGAAGAACCTTCATGTGAGACAAAACAAAAATACTACAAAGCTTTCAGAAAGTGTTCTATTAATATTCAGCAAGCTAGCATTCGTTATATGAAAATAGTAAATGTTTTTGAAGTCAGCCGAAAATATCTTTTTTTTACTTAAACGTTAATTCTTACGAGATGCAGAGACAAATTTAAATGTTAATTTTAGCTCACTCTGCGCGTAGTTTTAGCAGGTTCCCCCTTTTATAAATAAATGTATAAATTAAAATTCGAAAAGAACAGGAGAGATATATTTGGATGACATATAAATATTCAGCTTCATATAGCTACTTTTAATTAGAGTGGAGTTCCAAGTAAACAATTTATATGATATTTTTAAAGAAATTATTTTTTTAAAATCGTTTTTAAAAGTTAAAAGAGAATGAACTTTACTTATATTATTTTTTATTTAAAATAATTTTTTTATGAAGTACAAACAGAACCTCGAACGTACTCATTATGTAAGTAACAAGGATTTGATACATAAATTGATGTAGTTGCTACTATATTACAACTTTTTGTGATATATTTATATATATTACTTTACTTTTCGTAGATTTAAAATTTTTAATCAAAACTATTAAAAAAAACTCAAAGTGACTTAACCAGCGAAACTAGACATTTTCAATAATTAAAGTAATTCTGACTCTAATGTAGCAACTTTTTATGAAATACCTTGAAAGCACAGATTTTAAAGCCTATTTAAGTAGCTTAAGTAACTTTTAGTAATATTTTACTTTTTTTGGTTTTAGTATCCTTGTAGTGAATTTAAGTAACTAAGCTAGACAAGTTTTTATATTATGTAAGTTCTACACTATTGCAGCAACTTTATGTGACATTCATTACAATTTTATTTAAAATAAGAAATCTTAATACAAAAACAAAACTATTTAAAAACAGTAACTTACGTAGACAGGTTCCTTATAAAAAAATTACTAAAAATGCTATGCTAATGGACGGCCTTCTTACGATATATCTTTCTTTTAATTTTTTTACTTTTTTTAAAAACCTGGAATTTTTAAAAAGAGAGAACTATTTTTAATAAAATAAAACGCATTGCTACAACTTTTTTTAATATACTTTTATTTTTTGAAGGTTAATTTTTATTGTTTTACAAGTACATCAAGCATTTAAAATTTTTATATATAATATAAAGGTAATTGCTGAGGCATAACCTGATATTATAAAAATCTTGGTTAAAAAATTATACTTTGTCTCAAAACAATAATTTAGCTTAAATAGACAAGATTTTTAATAAGCATATTTAAAGTAACCGCTAAGCTAAGCAACAACCATTTATTATAAAATTTTAATATTTTTTCTCAAAACAGGCTATTTTGCGTGAGTAGACCAAATTTCTATATAAAAATCAACGGAAATCCTACGCTAAAGCAACAACCTTATAATATTTTTTTCATTAAACAAACACTTTAGCGTAAGTAGACAAGATTTCCATATATAAATTCAAGTAAATGCTACGCAGGGGGGCAATGTGTTATCTGTCATTGCCAATTAACACCTAAATAAAAATAGCATAGTTTAAACGTTAGTTTCGCATTTTTTCTGGGTAAAAGTATTAAAGTTAAAGGTGTTGGCTAGGTTTGAACCAGCTTATCCAATAAGGATGTTTTAGCGGGTTAAGCTACAACCGCATAAAATTAATTTTAATATAGCGCTGATCCTATAGCTACGCAAAGCGCGTGCGGTTCGAGCCCCATCTGAGTCTGCTTACTAGTTGTATTTTACTAATAAAATAAATGAGAAAAATCACCTAATTACCTAAGGCATTCCCTTATTTAACATCTCTAAGTAATACTAATAAGAGCTCGTGCTATACTTTCATAAAATTCTCAGCTAATTGGCAGGCTTTTTGTAATGTAAAAGAGTACGATAACATTGTACCAACATTGTGCTGTAAATATTTACTTAATTCTTGTTGGAGTTTCTACGTTACATGCCCATCCTAAATAAAACCTGGCACAACGTCACAAAATGATGCTAGTAAGTTAATACCTAACAGTAAGTAGGATTTTATATATTTTTGTATATTAATTAAGTTTTTCATTGGCATTAGCTTAAGCGAAATTTAAAGGTCGTAACTTCCATCTTAATTGAGGGTTGGTCTCACGACCTTAGCTCAAACTTCAACATGAGAACATTTTAAATAGCCGACATATTGAGTTATGCTAACTGCCGCCGCCGCTTAAGAAGTATTCTTTTTAGGGCCCTCCGAAGACTTTTACTTTGACTGTAAATAACACAGTAACAAGGATTAAGGGACCGTAATCATTTCAAAAAGATACCACATCTTGATGCTTATAAGCCATATTAATTAGTCTAGAGTATGCATTCCCAGAGGCCATCATGCAAATTAATTAGCTAATTTTTATTTTGTTAACTCGGCAATAGTAACTTAACAAGAAGACAATTGTAGCCAACTTTTTCACTTGGCGATAGTACTCTTTTTACAATAATCAAGGGTTCGCAAAACCCCGTAAAAGAGGTGCGAGAAATCTCGCTCGTTGCTTCCCGCCTGTGCCAGCATTTTGTATCTTAATTGCTTGCCAGGCGTGAACTTCCAACACTGTGCTTTCATCACAGCAGATGGAGTCTCATCTTTTAGATGCTCCTATCTTACCGTGTATTTTACGCGCTTGTCTTGCACAAGCTACTTTTGCTGGGCTGTGGTCAAGCGATAAGACCTGTTTGGAATTCATTCACCTTTAGCCTTGCCTAAACGGCGATACAGTGGCCCACGCTGCGCTATGACAAAATTGTGGTGTGTTATGTACCATAACCTTTATTGCACGCCGTATAAAAAAGATTTTGTTATAACTTTAATTATTTGTATCCCTCCTTTATTGAGTCGACTTCGTTTTCTCTGAGAAAATAAAAACGGTGAGTATCTTGGTCTGCCCAAGCCGATTCCGCTAAGATGGCAAGCGGACATTCGTTATCAGTAAATTTTCTCCATAAGACTTTGTCTGAGTAATAATAATAATTATAAAAAAAATATATTTAACTTAATAGTACTTATAATATTTATTAAATTCAATGCTTATAAATTTTTTAGAAAAAAAATAAGCTTTGTATTTTTAGCAACTCAATAGAATTGAATGTATGGTTAAATTTAATTACTAAATTTGGAGAATAATAATAAATTTATTATAAAATTGAATATTTATAAATTTCTATACAAAGTATTCTATTCAGTATTTTAAATTAAATCCAATTAAATTAAAAATTTAATAGTAAAAATCGTTATATGAATTATAATAATTATAAAATTAAAATAAATTAAAAATAAAAAAAAATTAGAGTTATATTACAGGGAATATTGGTAATTTATTAAAGGAAAAAATGAATACTATTTTTATTAATACTTTGAAAAAATTGGAAATTGAAAATTTATTTAAAAAGTAAATTTAGTGGTAAAAAGAATTTTTAAATAAATTTCTTTAGAAAAAAAATAAAAAGTATTTTATAGTAAAACTTTGCTCCTAAAAAATAAAAAAATAATATAATTTTGAAAATCTAAAATTTTATAATGTTTTAATTTGAATAAAAGTAAATTATTTTTAGAAAAAAAATTTAAATTTAAATATTGTATTCCAAAAAGTAAGTTTAGACTAAAAATAAATTAAAAAAAAAAATTTCCAGATAAAAAAGTTTAATTCGTTTAAAACTTTAAATAAAAATAAATACAATATTACTTCTACTTCAAATAAATTTAATTTTAACTAAATACGATGAATAATAAACCAAAGAAAAATAAAATTCAATAATATTAATTATATTACGTGTAACAAATTATAAATCAATTCAATATTAAAACTTAAAACTTAAAATTAGCAGTAAAATAATAATTTTTTAAAATAAATTACAAAAAGGATTTAAATAAAATTTAAAAATAAAAAGTTAAATCAAATTAATTTTTTTTAAAAAAGATTAGTATTTTAAAAAAAAACGTACCACCGCGATAACAGTAATTTTGCTTAATAAAAATAATAATAATAAAATTTAAAAATGTATTGTTTTTTTTTTCTTTAAAAAAAAATTAATCTTTTTTTTTTTCATAAAAAAGTACCACCGCGCGAACTGACCATCCACAACTCGTAATTACGAAGAACTTCTTCAGAAACTGACGCATCGGGCGCGTTGATTAGCAAATCTTTTATATTTTCCACGCGATGCGAGGTGTTTATAAAAAGCGCCTTCATTTTTCCATCCGCCTAAAATAAATTATTAATTATTTAATCAGAAATTAAAAATTTATATATGAAATTTTAAAAAAGTTATTATTTTTATAAAATATTTAATAAATTTATAGAAAATTTTTTTTAGTTTATTTTAGATTAAATTTAAATGATTTAAGTATAATTTTTATAAAAGTTGAGATGTTATATTTTCTAAATGTTTATAAAAATTTAAAAAAAAAAATTTTAATCGTAAATTTATACAAAACAAATTAAAATGATATTTACAAAGTAAAATTTAAAAATACAAAGTGTATTATTTTTGTTATAACATTATTTTACTAAATAAAATAAACAAACTTCTAAAACAAATAAAAATTTGTAGTACAGATATCTATAAATTTGTAATCTATAAAGTAATTCCTGGCCTTTTTAAATTTTAATTTAATTCAATTATTAAAAAAATAATAATCCTTTTTTACTTGATAAAAAAAACATCTTATAATAAAGTATAACTAGAAATTATAAAGTTCTAATAAAAATAACAATAGGTAAAAAAATTTTTTAGTAAATCAATTAATTTACTTTTGAATTTAATTTCAATATCATTTTATCAAAAAAAAATTTTATTAACTTTTTGGTTTTTAAAAAAATAGTAATAAAGCTGTTGAATTTTAATAAAAACAATAAAATCAGAATTTACAAAAAAAAATTTAATCGAATTATAATTAAAGTTTTATTAAAAATATATTAAAAATATTAAAAACTTAAAAGCAAAATTAGTAACGAAATTTATAAATTTAATAAGAATAAATTATTTTTATAATCATTATGAAGCAGATTAAATAAAATTGAAAAATAATAAATTAAGTGAAGAAGATTATTTTTTTTTATAAAAATGAAATTTACAAGTAAATTTAGTACAATTAAAAAGTCGAGATATAATGGAAAAGTCTAACTAATTATAAAGCGAAAAAGAATATTTGGATAATTATAAAAATCGTGATTTATAAAATTTATAAAATGTAAATTATTTATTAAAAATTATTTAAGAAAATTAATTATAAATTAAAAAAAAAAAATTAAAATGTACAAAGTAAATTCTGGTCGGCCTTGCAGGTGGTCTTCGGTTTATATGCGCTTGACTACTCAACGCTGTAGATTGTTTGGAACTTTGCATTAAATTATTTAAAGGAACAGCACTTCCTATAAAATAAAGAAGAAAATTATTTACAGATCAAAAAAAAATTAAAATTTATATTAACTTAATATTATTTTGAACTTTCTAATTATTTATTATAAAATTAATAAATTTATTTAAAGTTCTAAGAGATTATTTTATTTCAAAAAATTAATAATAAAAAGTTTTTTAAGTATTTGATTATTTTTTACAAAGTTTATTAATTACTAGAATTAAAAAGTTTATTATTTTAAAGATTTTTTTAAAATATAATTAATAAAAAATTTGCACTAAATCAGTAAATTTATTATAGTTTTAAAGTTTATTAATTTTTTGGTTTCTCTTTAAAAAAATAAAATTTAACGAAAAATTTAAATTAAACAAATAAATTATTTTGTAGTTTTTCTTAAATTTATAACTTTAAAAAAAAAATTAGTAAAAAATGTCAATAATAAAATACTATTTTTGTAGTTTTTATTATATTATTTAAGGATTTTTAATTTTATTACTTTTATTAATTTTTGTAAAAACGAAATTAATCTTTTTGATTTTAAAAAATAAATCAACTAAAAAATTTAAACTAAATTAATATATTGCTTTAAAGCTTTAAATAAATTTATTAAGTTTTATAAAACAAGAAATTATTATTCTCTTTTATTCTATAAAAAAAAATAAATATATATTAAGTTTTAAATTAAATAAATATTTTCAATTAAATTTGATATTTTTATTAGAAGAAATTAAAATTAAAATTTTACTAAAATTAAAAAATTTAACGAAAAAAATAAAACTAAATTATTCAATTGTTTTCTTATTTTATGAGGTTTATTAATTTTTACAAAAAAGGGATCTAATTTTCTTAATTTTATAATAAAAAGAAATTTAGTCAAAAAATTTAAATTATTTTTTTTAATTTTATCAATTTTATTTATGTTTAAAAAAAAATTAATAGTAGAAATAATAAATTTCTATTTTAGCTTTCATTCAACTTATGAATTTTTACGTAAAAGAATTTTTTTTTTTTGATTTTATTAGAAAAATCAAATTTAGTAAAAAATTTAAATTAAATAAATACTTTTTATAGTTTTTATTGTTTATTAATTTTTATAATATAAAAAACGAAATAAATAAAACTAAAATAATAAATTATTTTCTTATTATACTAAATTTATTAAATTTTATATGAAAAGAATTAATTATAGATTTTCTTAAATAAATATAAAATCCAAAGTAAAAATTAAAAGTAAAATAAAAAATATTTTATAATTTCATTTATGCTTATTAATTTTTTAAAGTAAAAAATTACTTTTTTTAATTAAAAAATTAGACGAAAATTTAAATACAATTAATTAATTTATTTTTTCATATAATAAAATATTTAACAAAATATTTAAGTTAAAAATAATTTTAAAAAAATATTTTATTACCATATAAAACTGAATAAGAAAATAAATTAAATTATTTTAAAAGTATTTAATTTTATAATTATCACTTGAAAAATTTTCTAAATTCATAAATTATTTTTATTCGGAATTAAATTAAATTATAATAATAAAAATATTTACTTGTTTTTATTAAGTTTATTAATTGTAATAAAATAATTTTTTAAATGTTTATATAAAAAAAATTAATTTATCAAAAATTAAAATAATAAAATTATTTTTTTTAAATTAATAATTCTCTAATTCCGGAATATTTTAAATTAAAATAATAAAAATATTTTGTTTTTATAAAGTTTCAAGTTTTCTGCAATTCTTTTCGTGAGACTAATAAATTTATAATAAATTTACTATTTTCCACCATAAATTTAAAATTGTTGTTTGCAATTTTTAATTACAATTAATTTACATTTAAATTTTATATAAAAAATAAAGTTTCAAAAGTTTATTACTATAATTAAAAAAAGAAACTTAAATGTAAATGTTATGAATTTAATATTTATTTAAAAATGGTCTTCATTTTATTAAGAGAATAAAAGTTTGGAATTCAAAATTAAATTTTACTTGACAAAAATTATAACAGTGGATAAATAAATTTAAAAAAAAAGAATTTGAATTAAAATTAAAAATTCAAAGTGGCAAATTTAATTATTTTTTAAATTTTTAGTCAAATTAAAATTAAAATTTTATTAGATGGAAAATATAATCAGCAGAAAAATAAATTTTAAAAAAAAAGATTTCAATTTATAATAAAAGTGATTGTTATTAGTATAAAATAAAATTTAGACTTGCAACATTAATTATCTAAAATTTATTATTTTCTGCAAATCTTAAATATAAGAAACTAAACTTATAAATAAATTTTTATCTGAATTTAAATTTAAAATTTTAATTTACAGAAAATTTAATTAGTAGACAAATAGTTTTTTTAAAAAAAGAACATTATTTACAACAAAAGTAGTTGGTGTTATTATAAATTAAAATTCAGACTAGCAAAATTAATTACTTAAAAATAACAATTTTTTTTTACGAATTTAAAATTTTGAAACTAATTTTTAGATCTAAGATGAAAATTAAAATGATACTTAGTGGAAACTGTATACAGTAAAAATTAATTTTGAAAGATTATTTTATAATAAAGAAAATTGTTAGTAATAAAATTTAAAATTCAGACAGAATTAATTACATTATTAATTCCAGAAAATCACTTGTTTTAATTAAAAATTTATTAAATTTTATAGAATTCATAATTAAATTTATATCTCTACAAATATTTATTATAACCGATTTGTTCATTAGCATGCGAATCAAAGTAATCTTCAAGATTAACATCCCCCAGACTTATCTAAATATTTATAAAATGAAAAAAATAAGTCTAAAAAATTTCATTGAAATATTTAAATTTGAATTAACTTGTAAAAAGCTAGCAAAAAAAAAAATTTATTAATGATAATACAATTAATAAACTACTACATCTTTTTAAAATAAGTTAAGTTTAATTAAAAACTTTTAAATACAAAAATTAATGAAATTTTTATATAAAATTTTTTTTTAAAAAATAAATTTTCAAAAAAAATTTATAAAGCAAAAAATTATAAAAGATTTATCTAATTTAACTTAATATCCATTCTTATAAAGGGAAACCTATCGACAAATAATTTTTCAAAAATTAAGTTATATAATTTGTATAATAATAATAAAGAATTAATTGTTAGCGTTATTGATAATTTAAATTGGTGGAATAAAAATATGAATTATCAAAAATTATATAAAAAATAAAGAAATTAATTAACCATATTTACTAATAATACTATAAAATCTTACGGAACTTTGCTGAGCTCGAAATTATTTAATAAATTTAATTGATAATAAAATCTCTCAAAAGATGGCACGCACAAGTAATAAAAACCGTCAAATTAAAATTGCAAATCCAGCTTGGAATTAAGATACATGAAGGGATTCAAAATTTATAAAGAATATTTAACAAAATCTAAAGTAAATTAAAATGTAACAAAAAAAATATAGTTCTTGTTATATAAAAACTACGAAGAATAACTTAATTTATATTATTCAATAGTAAAAAAATTCTGAATATATAAATTATAGAATTTAATGAAACTAAAATTAATTAGTAGTATTTATTTTTTTAAAATAAGTTGGGCAAATAAATTTGTTAATATAAAAAATATAAATAATAGACAGTCGAAATAATTCATCAATTACTCTATTAAATATAATGTTTCTATAAGCTTCAGTCATTATTATATTTATATAAAAATAAAAGAATTTGTAATTAAAAAAAATTTTACGCTCCAAAATTTTAAAATAAAGCAACTTTTATATAGAGAGAGAGAAGCAAATTTATAAACTACTAAAGTAAGTTTACCTTTTCTTCTTTAGTCGTCACAATTATGGGAGATGTCTACCAGTAAGCAAAAGTTTTAATATTAAATAAAAACAATAGAAAAAGATATTTTATTAAGGAAGGATAAAACAAAGTTAATAGATTAATTTGATCCCCCTTAAACTAAAGTATAATAATTATTTTATGATAAAAAGTTATTTAACTTATAAGCTAAAAGAAACTTTACTTCTTACTATAAAGGAATTTTTGTTATATAAATAAAAAAATTTTAAGATGCAATTTGAAAATCACAATATTTGTAAAAAGAATAATTTAAAACGAACAGGTAGCGGCTCAGATCTAATATATCCTTCAAAATAAGAAAAAATATATTTTTGCCAAGCTGCAAGCATCCCTTCATCTTCTGATGTTGGACTGTCTTGAGGCGAATCTGTCTACGAAGTATCAGATTCGTCATCTTCCTTTTGAATGTTTGAAAAAGTATAAAACCTGTTTGGAAGAAGTAATTCCCATCAGAAAAGAATGTTTTTATAAATTTCACACTCGAGAGAAAAAATTCAACTTTCTTAAGTAATACTTTTTGCCAAAATAAAATAAAAATAGGCGGTCTTTTATGGTATTTTCCAATATAACAAACTTTTTTCTTTTAATATAGAAACTAATTAATGCTCAACCTTCTGTTCTTACCGAAGTCCGCAGAGATACATACCCACACGTTAAACTCTAAGAACTTTCCTTTTTTATAAAACTTACCTGCTTAGGGTATATAGAAAGTAAGCTGCTCTTTTTGTTTGTTCTTAATTATATACAATATTTTATAAAATAAATTTAGCGTAATAGTATTCTTAAAGCTTCTGACTGACAAATAGAAATAGTATAATATATTCTTAATTTTTTTTCATAGTCAAAAAGTCATACCTTTATATCTTTATCAAAACAAAGTGGAAAATATTTATTTTTACTTTAGAGCAAAATCTAATAAGAGCCAAGAAAGTTTTAATACTATTATCATGTGTTCATCAAAAGAAACTCCTTAAGCACTTTATTAGCTGAACTCACCTTCACTAATTTCAACAGAACAATAATTACTTTACATAAAGTAATTTATTTTATTCATATTACTAATGACTTCCATTACTCTTGGCCTTGATTATTCTTAATCGAAAACGACTACAATTATAAAACTTACCTGCTTTAGTTGTATAGAGAATTAACTGCTTCTTTAGCTTTATTCTTCAATTATGTACTATATTTTATAAAATAAAATAATAACACGCTTAAAGCGTTTGAAGGACAGGAATAGTATAATCTATTATGTGCTATAACTTTTTATTCTTCATACTTGAAGTGTTTTATTTATAACATCTTTTTAACACAAAACAAAAAGAAATATTTATTTTTACTTTAGAGGGCTAAGACAGAACTGTATTTACTTTACATAAATCACTTTTTCTTTATGCTTATTTTTGGTGACTTCTATAACTCTGTGCCTTTTGTCTGCACAGGAAAAGGAAATTCTTTACAATTTAAAATTTTTTTTTCATTAAGAACTTTTGGCCGTCCTATTTTATTTTGTAAAAGTTAAGTTGATTTTTTTTACGTGCTTAAGTTTGTTTGTAGTTTGCATTCTAGTATATTATATGCTCAGTTAAATTACTCTCAATACCTTTCGCCCTTATTTTTTTTTCCTCTTCGGCCAATATTGTGCCTTTTTTTTTTCAAAATTTGATAATTTATTGCGTAAAGTTTTTTCACTTCCTCTATCTCACTAGCGTGATTTAATTTCCAAAAATAGTTATGGAGCTGCCTTATCAATCCATTTCTTTAAGTTAGCCTAAAATATTCACCAGATCAATTATTTTGTAACTGTAATTACTATATTGCTTAAGGAACTTTTAAAGATCCTGCTTTGGCTCGTTTTACAATGAGTATAGCTTGAATGCCCTCTTACATATAAAAAAAACTAACTGTTTGTGGTGCACATTTCAAAATATCGCAAAAATAAATAATTGCCTATTCTTAATTACTCTCCTTTCACTTAGACTGCTTTACTTTAGTTATTTTTTAATGTTAAGTTTGATAAAAAACGCAGTTTTGACACTTTTAAAAAAGTAAGTGAATCGTGCACGCAAAAGGTGCAATGCTGTTAAGGTGAACGCTTTAACTTTACGAGGAGCAAATACAGCAGTAGTGACTTATAGTAGCAACTTTTAACCTCACTTTAAAAAATATGAAATATGACAATTTATCACGCAGTACAAACTCTTTTGTTAACCTTATGAGCTCTAAATTTAGTAAGTATCACAAATATACGTTAATACATTAATGAAAAAGAGACAAAAAGCAGCTTTTATTGTGTCACACAAGAAAATTTACTCTGCGCAAGGCTCTTCTCTCATCTGATAACAGCAACAAGATTGACTGGACATATTGAACGACTTTTTTGAAGCATCATAGTCAATTGTAATAAATCGAAAATCAGAATATTCACCCCAAGATATGGATTGTACTTCATGCGAAACAGAGTTCACAGAACAGGAGAGCTCAGAAAACAATGTCAAACCGAAAAGCAAGAAAGAAAACGTAGCACCAAGCATTTTAAATTCAGTCCTATCAGTGTTTATTGTTTCTTTAACACTCAAGTACGCACTTACTAGCTCTTAAAAACAATGAGATAGAGATTATTGGATAAGATGTTTCCTATTATCTTATATATACAAGTTTCGTAATGCTCTAAATCTTTGCATACTAATAAAGAAGTTACCTAAAATTATCAACAGTATACTATTTATATTAAAGTAAAAATAAGAAAAAGTATCTTATATTCATTGTTAGTTCGATCTCTCCTATCGCGTAGATCTAATGCTTAACCTACAGCACTGTAGGAGTAGCAGTAATAGAAGGAGAACAGGTTCTTAACTATCTTTGGAGCGCGCATGACATATATATATGTTGGTCTCATATATTCTTCCCAAGTCTACCACCCCTATATAAGACAACTTTAATGAACTATTGTAAAAACGTTAATGGGCCAAAGATTCTTCGCAAGGTTATCCTCTGATACTCATTGATGGTAATAATCACAAATTTTACCTTGGAAATTTTAAAAGAAAGGAAAGCGAATAAAAAAATGTAAAAGAAGCAGAAAGAATAAAAAAGTACTATTAATCTACAAAAATAAACAAAAAATAACAAATGGAAAATTGCGTATTTTTTTTTAAAGTCTTTTTAACGTGGCTGACACGAATTACAAATACCAAGGTATAAGTTCTACAAAAATTATCTGCAGCTTAAAGAAGTTAAATTGACAGTGAGAAAAGCGCTAAAAAAATTTTACTAAACTAATTTTATTAACAAGGAAAAGACTTTAATTACTAAAATATAATGTACTTATATTTTTTCTTTTTTTTTTATTGACTATATATAATCCTTAACTTAAAATATCTATTAAAGTTAATGACTTCTAAAAGTCAGTTAGGGATAGGAGTCGAACACTGCAAAAAAATATATGACTGTAAATAAAACAGTCATCTGAAAGTTAATATAATCTAACGCTGCAAGTAGAAAGCGTAATTCAATAGATAAGCTGTATTGCAAAGGAAAAGATTGATTAAACAACAAAAATCTGACGTGTTAACCCTACTTTAAACCAAAAAATGTTCTTGGCAAACTATTTTCTTAATAAAACCAAATATATAAAATCCAAAGTTTATTTTAATTTAACTCTGGTGTTTCTTTCTAATTAATAATGGTATAACTTTTATATTTTATTATGCATTTATAAAATATTAAAAATAAATTTTTATACGATGTATATTCTTAATATTTTTTTATGGGACTTTATCTTATTAAACAAGTAATTTAAACATAAAAATTATACTATCTCTGGAACTGTTTTGTGTATCATATTGTTTACTCAAAAATTTAATTATTATATACTTTGTAACTATACTAATAATTATAAAAAACTTTCTTATGAGAGGGTTAAAAGATTTTTTAAAAAAAATGTATATGCAACTTTATAAACTAGAAGTTTAAAAACAGCTGTTGGTAAAAATCTTCAACATGCGGTGGACGGAACAGGATAAATAAAAAGGTAACTAAGCAATAAACGGGAAGCTTGGATTCTAATCACCCAGACCGACATACTAAACAATTTTTTTTACGAAAATACTATATTTAACCTAAAAAATATACAAGAATGATAAGTTTTTTAAAAAAAACCTTTTTTCAATTCAAAATGAGCAATTATAAATTTATATGTGAGCGTTATAAAAGCTAGTTATAAAGCTAATGCTAAATTTATAATCACTTTTATTTAGTGTTGCTACTTTGCTTGGGGCTATTTATTAAATTGTTTTTGTTGTCCTTACGAGAAGAAGCACTTATAAAGTGTAGTGGCGAGGAACTACTATTTCAGTTAAAAATTGAAAATTATACTAAAATTTTACAAGTGAATAATGGTATCAGAAAGATATTTAATTTTCTTTTTAATAACTTACAAGTATTTTATTAGAACAGTTCAGTGTTGACCAAGAGAAGGAGGTTATAGTTTGGGTTTGCAACACTCAGAATTTCGTTCATCCTTTAGTTATTATATAATATAAGTTGCTAAAAAGTGCTTTGCTATGAATTTTTTTTAATTAGGTTGTCGATAGTTTCGAAAGAGAACATTTTATAAATTTTATGAAGAGTCCTCCTAAAAACTGCTCATTCATCATGGTTTTATCTAGCTCTGCACTACTTAGGTTAGGTAACCATCATGAGAATAAACTTTGAATAATATTCTTTAGAATATTTAACTAAAGTAATAATACGATTTAACGTTATTTATATTACTTTTATTTTGTATTCTGACAATTTTTATATTATCTATTATCCAGACGCTATTACGAAGTTGGACTTAATAAAGTTAGGGAGCTCTAAAGTTTCTCGCTAACTCTTTTAATAACTATTAGCTTTTTATAATATTAAAATTAAGATACATTTGGCTTCCGCCAGGAATAGTGTATGGGTGTTTATCAGCTCGTTAGCTCGTACTTTCAGTAGTCCGTATGAAGTTTTTCTACCGGAGGGCGAAAGTTATTCATTTCTTTATCACTCCTTAAAGCAAACTAATACGTTACAGAAAAACTGACGATGAAGTTTTATATTAACCAAAATGGTGATAGCATGTTTTTTATTTTCTTATATAACTTATTAAAATTATTACAGAAACTGAAACCCGTGGAGAGGCCTTTACCAAACTTTGTAACCAAAAATCTGTAACTCAAACCATTTTTACGTACTTTAAAGAAAATTATGTTAATTCTTTCAACTGCAATCGACTCGTTTTTTACTACAGAAAGCAGGTTTGTGCCGAAGGCCTTCCATTGCTAAACCGATCATTGGCCTTTACTATTGAGCAGAATTTAGCTAACATTCCTATTATTATTATTGCTGGCACACGCTCGGATTATCTTATGCGTTGCGTATACAACTTGATAAGAACGCCTGTAAAGATTTTTCTATTTCGAACTTTCTATGCATTTATAATAATTTTCAAGGGAGTTCTACTTGATAACGTGTATATCGTAGTGGATGGCTTTTATCAAGACGTGCTACTCATCGCTCAAGTATTTGGTATTCTCATTATTATTTTCTTATCAATATTATAATAATTATCATTTTATTTATTTATTTACTTATTATAACTATTGAATATTTTTCTTTTTATTTATTTATATTAATCTATAAGGCGTGCGCGCAGTGTTCTTCCCGAGCCTGCGAGACCAATTACCCGGGCAGCCTTGGGATACAGTAGTAAAACCTTTAACGATAAAAAAAATTAAACATTAATTAAAATAAAAAATTCTGCTGGCCTTTACAGATAAAAGTACACGTGAGTCGGGTTTGGAGTTTTATATTTTTAAACACTTCAGTAGATAATGGAATTATTCTGGAAGAAGCTATAATTTTTATTATTACAAATAGTAATATATAAAAAACTTTAAAGTACTAATTATAGGATTTATTGGTTTCTCCCGATTTCTTTTCTTACTTTTCTCAACTTGTCTCTGCAATAGCAACAGTGAGTTTTTTATAAGAATAATGACGATATTAATAATAATAACAAAATAATAATTATAAAAATAATAATAGTGATACTAATATTTATTAGTATTAAATTTAGTTTTATTATATTTATTTATAAATTTTCTAAATAAATTTATAATTGTTGGCCGCTTTTAGTACTTTTTAATAATTTTCTTAAAATTTATAAGTCAAAAAGTAAAACTAATTTTAGTGAAAAACGTTTTAGTTAATTATTATTATTTATTATTTATTATTATACTTATATAAGGATCCCTCGTTGTTTTGTGCCTCTGCTTGGAACGATAATGGCTACATCCACACCACTTCTGACCCTGCACGTGTTTACAGGACGGAATTTTTTCCCGGTTTGGTTAAAAAATCTTTTTACTATATAATAAAATATTTATCTATTTTATTATTATTATTATTATTATTATTATTATTATTATTATTATTATTATATTTTAGTTTTTTTTAATATAAATTAAAAAAAGTTAATTAATCAGAATTTAATCCATTTATAATAAAATATTATTATAATAACAATTAATAAAATAAAATATATAAAAGAAAATTATTAATAATAATCTTTTATTAACTAAAAGTGAAATCTCTTAATTTTATTATTATTTATTTTTAACTAAATTCAACTTTTTTTTTATTGTAATAATAAAAAATGTAATAATAATTATACTTAAAAAAAATAAATTTACATTTCTTTGAATTTTGTATTATAATAGAACTATTAATAGTATTAAACAAATTTCAAAACTTAACGAAATTTTAACATTTTTTTATAACTTTAATAAAATTAAAAATTTACTACAATTAAAAAAAAAATTAAACTTAGATCTTTTCAATTTATTTTTTTTTAAAAATATATAAATAATAGTATCAAGTTTGAAAACTTTATTGGAATTAATATTTTATTTATTACGACTTTAATAATTTTAAAAAATTTAAAAAATTGAGTACAATAAAAAAAATTAATTTTATACATTGTTTTAATTTTATTATAAAGATTATATAAATAATATGATATAATTTTGAAAAATTTTACTTAACTATTAAATTTTTTATTATAATTTTAATAAATTCAAATAATTTACTACATAAAAAAATTTTAAAATTTTATTTTTTTTATAAACAATATATAATATTGATGTTTGAAACTTTAACTAAATTTATACTTATTTTTTATAATATTAATATACTTTTACTAAAGTTATTACAATTTATAAAAAATTACAAATCTCTAATTTATTTTTAATAAAAATATAAAGATTATTATCAAATTTAAAAACTTTTACTAAATTTAAATTGTCTTAGCTATAACATTAAAAAATTCTTAAATTTCATTATTAAAAAGAAATTAATTCACAAATCTTTTTAATTTTATGTTATATTTCAAAAATAATAAAGTTACTAAATAATATAAATAAATTTCAAAAATTATAATTTCATAATTATAAAAAACTAAATTTACAATTCTATAAATTCTATATATATAAAAATATTTAAATAATATTATAAATTTTAAAGACAATTTAAATTTTTATATATTCTTAGATAAGAAGAAATTTTTAAAATTTCTAAAAATAAATACACATAATATTAATAAGTTTAGAATTTACTCATAAAATTTATTATTATAATAGTAACAAGTTTACTACAATTTTCTAAAAATAAATCACAAATCACTAAATTTTATTTTTTTTAAGGGCTATCTTTTTCCGAGACGCTCTTGGAATTTAGTGAAAGACAAAATTCATAAAGTTCCGATAGGATTTGATTGGTGGCTCAGATATTTCATGAAAGGTCAAGGTACGAATCGCTGAGATTTAACAAAATTTAAAAATCTTGAAAAAAAATTTAAAGGTCTTGAGTGCGTCATCCCTGATTTCTCACGAACTTATCATTATGGAATAAGTGGTATTGTTATTTCCTGGCTTATACATATTTTTTTTTTATTTTTATTTTTATTATTTTAAATATTAGTTAGAAATATTTTTCTCTTATTAAATAATTTTTAATTTACTTTTATACATTTTACTTGTTAATATTTTTTATTTAACTTTTATAATTTTAAAATTATAATCCTACACTCTTCTATGGAATTTTTTTATTACACTAACAATCTCACAATTTTTACTTGTAAACATTTCTTAATTTCATTTTTAGAAATTTAGGTTATAATACAATTTACTTGTATATATTTTTTATAAATTCCAATTTTTGAGTAGGAATCTTTTTTTACTCAACTTTAATAAATTTAAGTTCATATAACTATTTTTTTTACTTTTTTTTCTTTTGGATTTATTTTCTAAAATTTTACTTGTAAAGATTTTTTTTGATATAGTTTTTATAAATTTACGTTTATAGTCTCACTTTTTTTAAAATTTTTTTAATAATTTAAAATATATAATTTTAAATTTTTTTCTCACTTTTTTTATTTTTATTTTTTTATTTTAAATTTTATAAAATTCAGTTTATAATCTTACATTTCACTTCTAAAAGTTTTTTATATAATTTATATAAATCTAAGTTTATAATCTCACACTTTTTTATAATATTTTTTTATTAAATTAAACCATTAAGTTTATAATTTAATTTAGATTTAATTTTATAATCTCATTTTTTTAAAAAATTTTCTTTATTAAGTAAATGTTAATAAATATAAAAATACATTTTTACAATTCACTTGTGAAATTTATCACTAAACCAAATTTTTTAAATTTCTTTCTTTTGATTTGTAAATATTTTTTAACTAAATATTATTATTTGAAGTTTATAATCTCAAACATTTATTATAAATTTTCTCTATAATTAAAGTTTTTAATTAGAATTGATAGCCTTTCTCTGTTCTATATAATATTACCTTTAAATTTAATTTAGGAAAATTTAAGTTTATATCACCAAACTTTTCTTATTATTATTCTATTTTCCTTTTTAATATAATTATATAATCTTAAACTTTACTTGATAATATTATTTTTATTTAATTTTTGTAAATCTAAAGTTCTAATCTCACACTTTTGTAATAAATTTTATAATAAATTTTTTTTAAACTTAATTTTTTAGATTTTAATTATATAATTTCACATTTATATATTAATTTTTTTATTAAAATTTATAATCTCAAGCTTTTTATAATTTTTTTTGTATTTTCTAAATTATATAATTTTAAGTTTATCATCTCACGCTTTTCTTAAAAGTTTTCTTTAGTAATTTAATTTTTACAAATTAGAATTTATAATTCACTTTTTCTTAAGTTTATAAAGTAAATTTTTTTTTAATTTAGTAAATTAAAATTTATAATATAAATATTTTTTTTTTACTTTTTAATTTATTATTAATTAAATTCAGATTTTTATATTTTTAAACTTATAATATTTAATATACATTCTTTGAAGTCCTCGTAGATTCAAATTAGAATCTTTTATTTTACTTTATATGTATACGCTTTCCTAATTATTTTTTAAAATAAAATGTATTAATTTAAAATTATAATCTTTTACTTCTATATATATTATTTTTTATTACTATTATTACACTTTATATGAATAAATTTGTTTATCTCCAAATTTTATTTACAATCTTGGGCTTTTCACAAATTTTTTTTCTGAATTCAAAATTATAAAATTATTTTTAAAATGTAATTTTTTCAAATAAAATTTTTTAAATTTTAAAACAATTACATTTGTAGGAACTCATATGAATCGAAATTTCCATAACAATTACTTTATCCATCACCGTTTTAATACAATCCCAGACGTTAAACTGAAAAATGTGGATAAGCTAAAAAAAGTTTCTTTTTTTTCTTTAAATTATTACTTAAATTTTAAAAAAAATATTTTTTTCCTAATTGAAATTTTAAAGATTATTATTTATTATTTTACTGTTATTATAAAAAAGCTTAATCAATTTATAAAATAATTTTTTTATGTAAACGTTTACTTGATTATCGTAAAAGTTTATTGTATTTTTCGTATGGATTTATAATTTTTTTAATATTTTTGTTGAACATTTTATTTATTATTATTAAATTTAGTCAGAATCGTTAATTCTTTTATGAGAAATTATTAATAAATTTAATTCAGAATTTTTAAAAATAAAAATTTTGGTTTTTTAAAATAAATTATTTGTTTAGAAAAGTAATCAATAAATTTTGAATAAGAATATATAATTATTATATAGAAATGATTAATAGCATTAGAACTTTTTTTAAGGAATAAGAAAAATATTATAAATTAATTTAATATAGAATTCTTTTTTCTTAAATTATTTTTTATATAGAAAATGATTAATAAATTGAAATCAGAATTTATTATTTTCTTAAAATAATGCATTAATAAAATTAAAAATTAAAATTTTTTTGTAAGAAATCGTATTTCTAAAGAAGTATTTAATAACTTGATTCACAATTTAATATTCTTTATATGGAAAGATGAATAGAATTTGAAATTTTTTCAATTTTATTAAGAAATAAATTAAATTTTATTTAGAATTATTAATTTTTTTTTTAAAAATAATAATAAAATTGATAAGAATTTATTATTCTAAAAAAATAACTAATAAATTTGAATCGAACCTTTTTCAAAAGTTTTTATATAATTAAAAAAGGTTGTTTATAAATTTGAAATTTAAATTTCTTTTATTTGGCAAAATATTAATAAATTTAAATCAGAAATTTATATATTTTCTAAAAAATGATTGAATTTACTTAAGAATTATTATAAGCTAAAATTTTTGAAATTATTAATAGATTGAAATAAGAATTCTTTATTTTTCAAACATATGATTAATAAATTTAATAAGAAATAATAAGAATAAATTTTAATCAGAAATTCTTACAAAAGCTTTATTTTTTTCAAAAATGTAATATTTTCCTTTTCTAAAAATATAATTAAATCAGATTTTTTTACTTTTTTTTAAAAAATGATTAATTAATTTATATAGAATTCATGTAATCTGAAACTTTATAAATAATTAATAAATTAAAAGAAAAATATTTTATTTTAAAAAAATCTGAGTAGTAATTTTATTTATAAAAAAAAAGATTTGAATCCGAAATTTTTACAAATTTTTAATTTTTTTTAAATAAGTAATTGATAAAATTGAATTAGAATTTCTATTTATTTATAATAAATAAAAAATGAATAATAAATTTATACCAGAATTTATATGAACTGGAACTTTTCAAAGAATTTAAAAAAGCTAAATTTTTATCAAAGGGCGATCCGTGCGAAGTGGGCTACGAAAATTTTGTTCCAAACACAAAAGGTTTAGTAATTCTTTTGTAGAAAAACTATTTAGCAAAAATTGATTAAATTTTTAGAAGTAAAGTAAAATGTTTTATTTAAAAATAAGTTAATTTGAAGTTTGATTAATTGAAATTATGGTAAGAATTTTAATTATAATTTAAATTTTAGATTTAGTTTTTTTACTTTAAAATTAATATAAATTGTTCAAGGTATGACAGAAAAGTAAATGTTTAATATTTTTTTATTTAGATTAATTAAAATTTAGTTAAATTATAAATTTTTATAAGAAAATTAAATTTATAATTTTTTCCTAGAGAATAATTTAAATTATTAAATTATTATAAGAAAATTAATGTCTTCAAAATTTTTTATTATTAAAAAAAAATTCTTCAAATTTAATTTAATTGAATTATAAGAATTTCATTTGTAAATTATAATTTGAAAATTCGATTTAATTTCTTTTTAAATTTAAACAAATTAATAAAAGTATTAAAACAAAAATAATGTTTTCGAAATTTTTTATTAATAAAGTTACGTTTAAATGAAATAAATTAAATTATTTTAGGAAAATTATGAAAGTTGTATTTATTATTTAGATTTATTCTTTTTCTCAAAAATAAATTAAATTAATAAATTTTATATAATAAAAATTATTTACAAATAATATTTTTATTTATATCTTTTTATAAAAGTAGTTTAATCTGATTAAAGTATTATAAAAAAATAATTGTTTTTAATAATTTTTCCAAAGTAAGTTTATTTATTAATAATAGAATACGTGTTATTAAAATTACTACTATAAATGTAAACTTTAAATTCATTACTAATACTTGTTTATAAATTTAATTTATAATAAAAATTAAAAATCTCAATTTCAGTGAAAGAAATAAAAACTTATAAAACAATTTTATTATCCTTTACGAATGTTATAAGTTATTTTGAAAATTTTTAAATTAAAAAAAAAATAATTTGTGTAGACTTATATATAAAGTAAAATTAGTTATTATTGAAAATTAAAAATTTTTGATCTACCAGACGATTCTGCTATTCATATAATATTTTGAGACTTGAAATTTTTTTTAGTTTTTTAAAGTTTCTTTATTATGTAAAATTTATATAATAATAAATAGATTGAAAGTCAAAAGATTCTTTTAATATAAATTACATGCAAATTTATATTAAAAAAAAGTTTTCAAGACTCTTTTTGATAAAAATTTTATGTAAAATTTATATAATAAGAAAAAGATTGAAAGATCTCAAAAAGTTTTTTTTAATATAAAATGATGTAAATTTTATATAATAATAGAAAGATTAAAAGATTTCCAAAAAATAGTTTTTCTATAAAAATTATGGCAAATTTATTTATTTATAAAAATATTAAAAGATCTCTAAAAAAAATTTTTAATATAAATTTATGCAAATTTTAATAATAACAATAATAATAATAACAAAAAGATTTTTAAAAGATTCTTTTTAAAATAAATTTTATGCAAACTAATTTATAATAAAAAGATTTTTAAAAGATTATATAATATAAATTCATGCAAATATTTTATAATAATAATAAAATTAAAAAATTGCACTTAAAGATTCTTATTAATAGCAAATTATGCATCTTCTAAATTATAATAAAAAGATTAAGAGATCTCTGAGAGTTATTTTTTCATATTATTTTTGATGCAAATTTTATATAACGATAAAAAGATTAGAGGATTCTTAAAAAGGTTTTTTTTTAAAATTTTATGTAAATTTTATATATAATAACAAAAATATTTAAAACAACACTTTAAAGGTTCTTTAAACAAATTTTATACACGCTTTGTTTAACAATAAAAAACTCAATAAATCTTTAGAAATTTTTTTTAATAAATACTTTTAAGCAATTTTAATAATAATAAAAAAGCTTTAAAATTTTTTTGAAAGATTTTTTTCAAAGTAAATTTGTTTTTTAGGGGAAACTTACGTGATTTGGTTTGCTGAAGATCCTATATACCAACCTCAGCAAAATCTCCTCCGCTGCTGGGGGATGATGGACGGTTCAGTATTTACTTTCAATTTTTATTATAATCAGTATAATAAAAATATAATATAAATTGTCTCGCAATTTTTTTTTAATTCCCCAAATAAATAATTATTTGAAATAAAAATAAATTTATAAATTTTAATTTTTATTTTAATTTTTTTTCAGAAATTATTTTATAAAAATGTCCATCTACTTTATTTTTTGCCTTGTTGTGATCCAATTAGAAATTTACTTTTTATAATTTGAATAGAACGCAAAAATTAATTTTGCTTTATATTTTGAAGTAGTTTTCAATTTTCGCAAGGAAATTTTTTTTTTTAAAATTTAAATTTGTAGTCATTAACTAAATTTAATTTATTTTTCTCCATTAATATTTATTTTTATAAAGTAAATTATAATATTTGAGGAAATCATTTTTTAATTACTTATTTTTGCGTTAAATTTTTTTCTAAGAATTAAAATTAGTAAACTACCTTAAACTCTATCAAAATAAAATTTATTAAAATTTATCAATTTTATGATAAAAAGTCTCTTTATATACTTTATATAAAAATAATATTATATAATTAAAATTAAAAAAATATAAAAGTTTTTGTTTTAATTAAGCATAAAAAAATTTAAAACTTTGAAATTATTATTAAATTACTTCATGAAACGGAAAATTTTACTATTAATATTAATTATAAAAACGTAGAAATTAATTTTTCTAATTATTTTATAAATATTATTTAAAAATTTTTACTTATTTTTTTCCCTAATTTAAATTTAGTAAATTAATATTAACTAAATTTACATAAACATAATTATTAAAGATTATTTGCGCTGCTTGCACAACGGGATTCTTTTTTTTTACATAAAAGATAATTTCATTATGGTAAGTTTGCTACTTTTATTATTCATTTTCTTTAAATGAAATATCAAACTTATAAAAGATTGAGATTTTATAAATTTAATTTAGTTAATTTTTAATTAATTATTCAGGTGGTCAGTGAAAATTCAAATTATGCTAAAAAATTTAAAACAGAAAATATTCCTGCAGTGCACATTAGTAACCTTCCTCACACTTTTCCTGTTGAATTTAGGGATTTGATTTCAGTTCCGGAAAAACTTTCATATTATGAAGATTCCATTTTATTTAATAAATAAGAATTAATCTTGCGAAAAATTATTTTTGAGTTCAGTTAGTTCATAAAGTTAAGATCCCAGAAAAACCTTTTTATTAGAAGTTTCCAATTTTTCAATTTTCTCAATCCTGTGTTATTTTTTGATGAAATGATATTTAATTTTTATTTAGTTAATTAATTTAAAATTTCTAGAAAAACTTTTATTTTACAAGATCCCATTTTGATACCAAAAATAAGAAGCTGGTAAAGATTTTTGAAGTAATTTTATTTATTTTAGTTAATAAAAATTAATTGTTTGTCGATGTTTTTTAAAAAGACCTTTTATATTATGTTTTTATTTTTATGAAGTTTATAGATGAATTAATTTTTTTTAAAAAAATGGTTTTCGAGACTTTTCTCTATTAAAAAACTTTTATACTACGAAGATTTTATTTTTATACACAAAGTAAGAATCGTACAAGGTTGCGACGGTTTCCGGGCTAGTTAACAAACTTGGCTTTGGTTTATGCCGAGTAATTTTGAAGTCATTAAAAGATTTACTCAAGCAGCGGTGAAGCGGACATACTATGATGCGTTTCATAACGTCGTGATGTAAGCGTTGGCTAGCATTAGAAGACTTATGAAAAGCTAGCAGCTATGTGGGTAGTGTCAACTTGAACTAATTCGAACTCAATCAAACTTTGAATTTAACTACAACTTTTACCTTTGGTTACCTTTGGTTATCTTTTGGCATCTTAGCTAACAATAACGATAGCCTGTAAAACTTTAGGAGTTAAGCTATCTTTACATGTAAAAGAGTAAAAAATAAAAAACACCCGCTCCGCCACATCTATGTATGTACTAGTAAATAAGCTAGCCTATTTACCTGGGTTTTAAGCTAAGGTACCAATTTTAAAGGGGAACACTAGAAACTCTCTAGGGGAACAATGAAAAAACAGCCTAGCTAACTTTGGCAGATGAATAGGAAGCCCCAGTTGCTTAATAAATAATGAAAGTAGCTTATAATTAAAGTAGAAAAGTCAGACAGGAACCCCTGCTCGTACATAGAGTTAGTCAGTTATAACAGTACTGGTATCGATCCTAGATGCTAACGAACAGCTTGTATACTGGTTGTGTTACATGTATAATTCTTTAGTTCTATGCCTCCTCTCGGTTAAAAAGAGTTACTATATCAAATAGTTAAAAATCGTTGTTGGCTTCTGCCCTGAGACAGGTTTTCTCTTATCTATGTCATTAGAGGCATATTCATCGTTCCGTTTCGCAAAGGGTATTTACTGTTTAGACCTTGCCTGACCACTTTTTGTTGTGTACTATAATTGAAATGAACAGACTAAATAACCTTCATTTTTGATCAGTCTACATTAATTTGGAAAAGTCTGGATTGGGTTTTTCCTCTCTTATTTTGTATCTTATGTCTCATTGAGCTTTAGTAATTACTTAATCTGTAGGACAGCGTTCTAAAGCGTAATCAGAAACTTATAAATAAATCCTTGTTCAAAACTAACCTTTCACCACCTACTTCGGCCGGTTTGGGTTGAATATTGAAAAGTAGGCTCGAACAAGAGGCATTTTCTAATTATCTGCTAAAGACCCCCCTTTTGTTGTCCTTAAGAAGGGCGAAAGGACTAAAGGTCAACCTATGTGTCTTGATAATGTAGTTATTAAAACGTAATAACAGGTTAAGTACCAACACGAGTAAGAGTGTTAGTAGAACGGGTACAAACTATCTTTATCACTCAAATAAAAAAAAAAAATTTCTTGCCTTCTCACCGTGCGTACTAGCTTTATAACTAACTAAATTAACCAACATATACAGCTGTTTTAAATTACATATCTATCTATTAAACTAGGAAACAATCTTAGAATCTCACTGAAGTAAAATAAACCAAGTGTACTTTAACTAGGTTTAGAAAGTTGAGAACCACACCGAATCGAGACTCTTTCCGTTGAGTATAGATAGCTTACCGGTACGGAGCATCCTGTCTACCGTTTTGACTTTTAAAATAACGTACGAAGGGTCAACTAACTTTCCACTTAGGATGCGCTCTGTACGGTGGTGCTATACAGTTTTAGAATAAGATCTCTACCGCTCTCTGTACGGTGCCCGAAGCACCCTCTAAAACTTTTTTTTTTTCATGCCTACCAGTACGGGGCATCATTGAAACAAGTGCTACGCAATATCAAACTTTATAGCTTTATGAGAGGTGCTTTCTTATCATCAGTGACATATTAATGGTATAAAGTAATGCTATTTACTAGTAAATTTTGATTCTTTTCCTCATTTTCGTAGTTGAACTGCTAAACCTCCTTCTCGGATAAGCTCGTTCGAACCTAGGCGATACCCTAGTGATTCCTTTTGTTTGTTGGGTAATAACACTATTTAAGGCCGTTTAGGGTTCTTTGTCCAATCTAGGTCTTCTAAAAACCTATACAAGAGAGGTCAGCCTGTAACCTCGTGCCTTAATGCTTCCCTTGTGTTTGCATTTATCATTTTATCACTTTTATCTTGATGTGGAAATATGCAGACCTTTACTATCGCTGCGGCCACAACGATTTAGACTTTCCACCTTCATTTAAAGATCCATTTTTGGCAGCTAGGAAGGTGGAACTGGTTTACAAGAGCCAGTAGTCACCACAACATACTAATTAGACAGGCATTTGGTTGTGACTCTCGTTGGTGCACCAATTACTCGCGCTCAAAACATTTCCTAGATCTAATAGTGGGGGGATAAACGACTGATTATAATTTACTTTATTAACCTGTTAATATATATATATATACTTTTTTCTAATAATGTAACTGTATTAAAACTTAACAATTTTATTACATGTAATAATGTTATTAGTTTGCTATTACGCCTTTATTAATGTATACTGTTTAGCTAAAGCGCATCCGTTCTTCTTGTTGAATGGCGCTGAGTCGCTAGGAAAGTTGTGTCTTCCGCGCCTCAATTAATAGATTAAAACAGCAATTGACTATAAATCACACATGTAGCAAGCCAGCGTTGTAAAGAAATAAATGCATGGTGTGTATTGGGTGCTTATGGTTTATAACTTGAAAAACCTGGCTATAAATTTCACTAATGTTTTTTCTATACTTTTAAAAAAATATATATATTGATTTCTAGTTTTAATGAAAATTTACCTATTATTTTTTCATGGCTGGTTACAATTAACCGCTTAATTAAAAAACTAAACTCCTAGTAAAGAAATTATAAGTTATTGATGATATCTGTCGTTGGATATACGAAATTATTTTTTTATGAGTAAAATATCAACCTAACTATTTTTTACCTGCTCAATTAGGTTATTTTTAAAAAAATTCGTGAACTATATACAAATATATATGTATATAATTTTTAATATATATTATATTATTTAAAGGCCAATTCGGGATTGTCTTGGCCGGTGACCGGTAATAAAAATACAAAAGCAAACCTCATTTTACATTAAAAAAAGGTCGCAAGTAATTAACGTGCTGCTTAAAGTTGTCAGAAAAATAAAAAAATTCTACAAGCTGTGAAATTTACGTTAAAAAATGAATTTTTTAATATTTTATCGGCTAAGTAAATAAATAAAACTATAATTATTTGAGCAATACAAAAAGTTAAAAAATTAAAAGGCTTACAAATTACTACGTAATAAATTCTTTTAATTACAAATTAAGTTAGAATAAAAAATTAAGAGTAGTTCTAAAATTTATTATAACGCCTTTTAGTCTCCATAAATTTCGTAATTTACTTTAGTTATTGGCAAGCTTGAAAGCTATATTACGTTCCCTCTAATGAAATGACTTAGGTTTAAACCATCATTAAGTCATATAAACTAACTAGTTTTCACAGACTTTTATTAAAATTCTTATTATTAATGAATCTAAGAAGTGAATATCAGCTCGTTTAGCTAATAATATCGTAATTGAAATCTATTAAAGTATAATAAAGTTTTAACTGTTATTATAATTTACAGATTAGTTATCTATCGTTCTAATAGGACGTCTAACAATAAAATACAGAGGAGATATATATATGATAAACGCCTGCAGAAAATCAACTTAATCAGGGATAGAATGTAGAGACGCTCAATACTAACAAAACTAAATTAAAGACTAAAAAATATAATAAAAATAATAAAGATAGGACTTATACCACCAGGCAACGTTACAATAATAATAATAACTCCGCAACGCATTTGTACAAAAAATTCTCTAAACCCAGCCCGAGATAAGTAACAAACTATTCTCTTATAATGACCAATGCAACTATAAAAGTTATGTAACACAAGTTTTTGTATATACCTTTAGATTCAAAAGGGCTTATAAGCACTAACGCAGCATCTACAATATTAAAGGTAAATGTACTATTCACCCATAACGATATTTGCAGTGCCCGGCACGAAAGACGCCCACGCGCTCTAAGAAAAACATTTAGTTTCATAATTATATTGCTCCTTAGTTTGTTAGCAATGTCCCCTAAAGAAATTAAAAAATCGAAGAAATCGAAGAAATCGAAGAAGCTGTGAGTATCCGTTTGTATATATTTTTTTATAACATCAAAAACTGTATATAATAGTAAAAAAGAAAAAAATGAAGCATTTGAAAACGCACTAAGCACCGAGAATGACGCAAATAGTATGCAAATTTTAGGAGAGGCAAGTTATGAAGTACTTGTTAATCGTTGCAGTCCAATATCAAAACCTCTAGCTAATGAAAAACTGACTAAAAGTTTGTTAAAAATTACAAAAAAAGGTAACTTTTTTGTTCCGTTCCTTATGATTGTCGTCGTCGTAGAATTCGTTTAAAGCTACCTTTATTAAAAAAGGGAAGGTATAACTTACCATACTCTGTTGAAACATTTTTACTTTGTTTGGAATCAATAACTTTATATTATGTTTTCACAGCATCTCAAACTCGTACCTTGCGCCGTGGCGTTAAAGAGGTCGTCAAGGCTATAAGGAAAAATGAAATGGGGTGCTTAGGAATTATAATTTTTTTTGTACTTTGCTAATTCTACGAATCTGCTTTCATGCATAGAATTGTTCTCATTGCTGGGGATATATATCCTCTAGATGTTGTTTCTCACTTGCCCATCTATTGTGAAGATAATAACCTTCCTTATTGTTTTGTGCCTTCTAAATTACAATTAGGTAGAGCCTATTACTAACAAAAATTGCTTAATTTTTGACGTTTTTTTAAGGTGCTGCTGGAAGTACTAAGCGTCCCACTAGTTGTGTAATGATTAAAACTCACCAAGATTTTAATGATTTATATGAGAAAAGAGTTAAAGAAGTCCAATCCTTATGCCAGCCTTACGTGGCTTATTAATCAAATATAAACTTTATTATGAACATCTGCGTGATCTATGACCTTTTAGATTGTTATAATATGTTTTTCAATCGTGTCTGACTCTCTCTTATAATAAAAAAATCTAACTACCATTTTTAATGACTAAACTCTAATTATGCATATTTACACATTTATAGTATTCTATTATGTATTTATATTAAGGATGTAGTATTATTAAATTGCAGTTATTTTTAAGTTTTTCTGTTCTACCAAATTACTCAGTTTTCAAATAGACTTGTTAATAGTATTTTTAGAGGCTTAAATGCTGTTATTAAACTAGGACGAGATTATATTTTTATTTAAAAAAATATCAACGATTTAAAGGATTTATTTTTTTTTACTGCTAAAAAATCATGCAAATCATACTTGATTTAAGACACTAATTCGGGGTTTTAAGCGATTAATTTAGCGCAGTTATATTTTTTAAAAGTTATGTTCACAGGATTTATAAAAGGGGAGACTTTATAATTCTATTCTCTACGTCTTATCTTGTTTAAAATATTTTCCTTTACACGTTAACAGTATATTATAAGCAGAATGTAAACTTTTATGTTTTTAAGAACTTTTTAATTATTGGTCGTCATACCTATTTTAAGTTATTTTTTTTAAAAAAAAATATATTAAAAGCTTATAGCGAATTAATATTTTTTAAAGAAAACATTTTAAAAATGTAAAAAAATATTTTTGAGGTCGCAAATGTAGCGCTCATAACATAATAGAAGAATCAAAACTTGGACGACGCGCTCTCAGAAGGTGATATCCCGTAACTTATTAAAAGACAAAAACGTTCAAGTAGGGCTTTTTATTTTGTAGTTGATATATAGTAAGAAGTACTCGTTTAAAGGTAATTAGAAGCTTTATTTATGGCTTATTTACATATAGATGTGGATGTGGTATAATTGCAGCTAATTAGCAACCATCGCTTTTTAAAAGTAAAGTGAAGGCAATAGATTCAATATTTTATATGTAGTATTCAAATAAATATATATATTAATAAAAAAAAATTTTACCAGTCTCTTACAATTTTTCTGAACTTAAAATATAATTTTTTGCCTATGCCCACTTTAACACTGAAAAAAGTCTGTATCTATCCCACTTCTTTTAGACTACGCGGTAACCTGACGGGTAAATTATGAATACTTTTAAGGCACCCTCAAAAATTATTCCTAAAAAAAGTATATTATTTATTTATTTATTAATGACAGTCCCTGATGCTCGATCGAGTTAAAAATTTCCAAATACTTGAGCTCTCAAGCGGGAGCAATCACAGATATATACTACAAATAGCATTCAGGGTATCATTTTTTTTTGCCTTACAAAAAAAAAAAATTAGCGCTTAAGACGTTACGAGAGCGGTGATAACGTGCCCTTCCCATGGCTCGTAAATAAGTTCGCTCACCAGCGCGATTAGTGTGCCTGGTAAGCCTGTCACAAAGGACAACGACATTGCGTTGGAAGATAATGTTTAAAAGGTCCACCTAGTGGTCCCAGTGAAGAGCATCATTTCGCACAAACCACGGCGCCTTTGTCAGAACACGCTGCAATTTGTTCGACCGCACTTGAATTGCCGACGCTATTGGAGTGGGGTTGCAGGCCCAGGCAGCAAATGCGTTTATTATGGGCTGGATGTAAGACAAATACAATTGTCGTTTGTTCCGCAGAGAAAACTTATCTCTTGCCGCAAAGTACTGGATAAAGAGTCTTATTTGCCGCCTTGACCTTCGCCACTACATAGTCCACGTGAGGCCCTAGGAAGGTTTGTTGTCGATGATGATTCCTAAGTATTTCGCTCGAGTACACCATGGAATCTTCACGCCATTAAAGGTTAAGGGCACCAATAAAAGGACGCGTTTCTTTGAAATTAAAATAGCTTTGCTCTTCATCCCATTTATAGTAACCTTCCCATCATGGCAACAGATAGCAAGGGCGTCAAGATAGCGCTGTAGTTGCTTGCATAGCAAAGCGGAAGACTTCGGAGAGGAATATACGGTCGTCTCATCAGCGTAGAGGGCGATGCGTGTAGGCGGAATGGAGGGCAAGGCACCTCGCTCATGTATATGGCAAATAAAAGGACGAGAGAAGGGACCCCTGCCATCAGAGATCGAAGCGGTGACCGGTTGTCTCCCACGCGCACGGTGAAGAGGCAACCATTCGGATATGAGTACAGCACCTCATAGAGACCATGAGGAATAGATATCGAGCGCAGTTTGTGCAGTAGACCTTCATGCCAAATTTGATCAAATGCCTTTTCAACGTCAGGGAAGACAGTGCCCGTGGCCTTCTTATGGTTAAAAGCGCGAGTGGTTCATTCAGTTAAGCGGAGGAGCTGCTGGATACTGAGTGCCCTTGCCAAAACCCCAACTGAAACTCCGGTAAAGGTTTTCCCGAGCATCAAACGACCTTTTAAGCAGCGCAGTACAACGGCCTCATCCACTTTGCCGGCTGCTGACAGTAGGCTGATTGGTCAGTACTTGCTAGGTGCTGATGCCGGTTTAAGTGTTTCTGTTATCATAACGACGATCGCCGTCTCCCATCGAATTGGAAAGGCGCCAAGGAGCATCGAAGATTTTATAAGGAGGTAAAGATAGCGCCTCCCTATTATTTTTTTTTTACTTCAGCACCTCGTTGGTAATGCCATCGGGTCAAGCGCCTTTTGTTTAGTAGCGCTTCGGCAGTTGCTTGCATCTCGTCAACATTAACTAGATTAAGAGTTTTTTCGTTGTTAACGGGTAGGGGTAAGTTCAGCTGAGGGAACGCATCATCATTAGCAGTATAGTAAGCAGGTGGCACGTTTTGAATAGCAAGAACATTGGTGAAAAGGGTGGTTTTATCTCCTCTCTCGACCACTATATTTTCTTCACTAAGGGGCAGTAGTGGTGCAAGTCCTCGATTTTTGGTCCTTTTAACAAATGTCCAAAAGGAGGAGCGGTTGCTGCTGCCTGATAATGTATATTTGATGCAGTTTGATCTTCCATTCAATGTTAAAATGGGCCATTACCTTTTTTCTAATGCACCTGTGAAGTCGATTAAGCTCAAATTTGTCTTCGGCGTTCTGCGGCTACATGGTTACTCAAATAAGGCGTCGACATTGGCAGATAAGCGCCTTTATTACGGAAGGCAGGCGCTCTTGGCGGCACGTTACTTTACGAGTTGTCCTGGCAGTAGTGTGAGCTATAACCAGTCGGTTTCGAAGAGGGCAACAGCATCATCCAGCAAGTCGGGCGTGAACGGTAATGACGGGCACGGCGGCAGCGTGGTTTCTAATATCAGCATATTTGTCCCAGTCGGTAAATATACGGGAATGATCTTTGGTGTGTGTTCTTCTCATCTAAATCGAGAATAACTGGAAGGTGATCGGAGGACAACTCGTGGACCACTTAAATCGCCATAGTGAGACGTATAGGTTTAAGTATGGCATAATCCAGTAGGGCTAATGTGCCTGTAGTCGCCTTGTATTTCGTACCCCATAACGTTAATAAAGGGTTAAACCTACTACGAACTACTGAAAACCAACTTATACTACACAGGAAAAGGAAAAACCAGTGGATTCTTTTTTCTCCTTTTCTGCCTTTTCCGCACTTTGTTGATACTTTTACACGTTATTGTCCCTTTCCTCGCGGTATATTACTACTTTTACTTTCTACTAAGTAAATATTCTAAGCAAAAATTAAGTGTATTATCGGTAATATTCTCGCTAAGTGGTACTTTTTAGCCGATTACAGTAAAGGCCAGTGAAGAAATTTAAAGCTTTTTCTTGCAAAATTTTTTTTCTAAGTACAAAAAGTTTTACAATAATTAACTACAACGCCCACTATCGCGCATAAGTACTAAATAAAAGCATAACTAACTATGATTTTATAAGCAAATGCTATAGCGCAACGGACTTATAATAAATTTAAGCAAAAAAAAAAAATATCTACATCTTTAAAAAAGACAGTATATAAAAGTAAATCATCATATAGAGAAATTTTTATTTTTCAATTATAAGCACAAATAGAACAAAATCAAAAAGATATAATAAAATTTAAAATCATTGAAGTTCTTAATAAGATCGTCGAGGGGATGAGAGATTTCAAATATAAATTAATTACAAAAACTTCAAATTATTGCTTGAATCTTCTATTAATTCTCCTGTATAAAAAAAAGTAAATATATTTCAAATACAGATATAATCAGATATATGCTATTAAGCACGTTATATACCATAAACTAAAAAAGATTATATCTGTGTAAAATAGTTTTATTCTTTTTTTAAAAATTCTTCGAATCGACCATCACATTGATTTTAAATTAAAATAAAAAAGCAACATTTTTTAATTTAAAAAATAATAAAAAATCAATCGAAATAAAATTTACGATCTGCCAAACGTTAATAAAAAGTTTCTTGCAAAAAATAAATGACGTCGGTTTATGTTAAAAAATTTAATCAAAATTTTAATAAATAACGAAGAATAACGTGACTGCTCAACCTTTCGAGGCCTCAAGATCCGCTGCGTGAGTGGCCGTAGTATTCTTATCAAAAAGTGGGACGGGAGCATCTAAAGGAGCCGCTAGTTGGGCTCGTTGCTGGCTGCTCATAAAAAAAAAAAAATAAATTAAATTTTAACAGTAAATGAATTCCATAACTAATTATATTCAATAATCTTTTTTATCTTGCTATAAATTTCACTAATACGATTACTTTATCACTTAAATCCTTTATATTAATATTCCGAAAGAAAAGTATGATAAAATTAAATAACTAAACCCCTTTTATAAAAATAAAATTAAAACCTGCAGAACGCTGTATAAAAATAAAAAGGCACAGCGTAACACGAAATCGGCCAACCAAAATCTAACGAACATTAAGCGTAACATATGAACTGCAGTGATTAAAGGAAAATATCCAACTTTTCTGTCGACGAGAGTTTTTACTATACGAGACTTACTGAAATAGAGAGTAAAAGAAAATAAATATATACACCAAATATCTTTTTTTAATATAATTTTTATATCAAAAGTAACTTAAAGTTAAATCTGTTTATTATAGACTTAATAAAATATTTTAAAAGTTCACTGTAAACTAAAACTAAATAAATAATATAAATAATAATAAAAAATTATATATAATATTTAAAAATATAAATTTAAACTTATTAAGAACAGAAAAATTCTCACCAATTTAATAAACTCCAATTCATCTAGATTTATATTATTTACTTTTACTTTATAAATTTTCATACCTCGCTATCATTCTGCTTATGGCGATTTGTACTCCCTCAATCATAGCTAAAATAACACAACCGGCAATACCAGAACGAATGGCTCCACCTAGTCCACCTAAAAAATAAATAATTAAATTTAATTTAATTACAAAATCTAAGGTTTTCAGATCAATACTTCGGATGGCCAAAGTAAAACCAGTTAAACCGCCACTAGCAATAGAATTCATGGCGTCATTTTTGTTTCTTATAGCAACTAAAGAACAATCATAGCAGGAAAATACTCCTCCCCAATTAGCAAAACTTCCTCCTATGATCGGAGCTCTTACTTTCATAGCGTTAACAGCACTCTGAAAACGTTGCCCCTTTATAAAATAAAAAAATTCCTTTTAGTTTATAGTTAGTAATATATATAAAAATAAAAAACCTTCGGTGAATTAAAATAGCCTTTTACTAGATGAAACACACTTCCGCCTACCGCTCCCATTGCAAAGGCTCCGCCAAAATCCGTAATTATTCGGTTTGGACAAGGTTCACGAGCAAGTTCTTCCATGAAAAAAAAATCTATAAAAAAGCTCTAAAGTTATTATAGTAATAAAAAAATACATAATAATAATAAATGGTAATAACGCAGGAATATGGGCACGAAAAAGGTTTTGTAAAAGTTGTGTAGTAATTCAAGCCCGTGCTAAGTGCTTGGAAACGTCGATGGCGGATATATCCATGTGCGACCGACGAAGGCTTGTTAATAGAAATTTAAGTTATTTGGTAAGACGTTATTGTAGATTTAATAGTAATAATATTTGTACCAGTTACAAAAGCGAGAAACGTTTATAAATTTTATATATTTTAAAAAAATTTTATTCTAGCGAACAATTTTTAAAATGATAATACTTTTGTACTAACATTAAAAAGAGGGAGAAAGATTTATAAATGCTAAATTAATACTTAAAAAACTCTTTTGTAACGACACATCTTATAATAATAAAACTTTTGTACTAATATTAAAAAGCGTAAAACGTTTATAAATAATAAATCTATTTTAAAAAACGATTTTAGAGAGAAATTTAGTAGTTATACTCTCGTAGTACCAATTCTGAAAGCCAGAAACATTTATTAATTTTAAATAGTTTTTAAAAATTCTGTCGTAGCAAGAGATCTTAATATAAATTACCTCTTGTACTATTTTTATAAGCCAGAAAATTTTATTATTTTTAAATTAATTTCCGAAAACTTCTATTAAAAAGAAAATTCTTTTAATAGTAATATTTTTGTACTAGTTACAAATAGGGAAAAAGAATTATTAAAATAATTATTACAAATATAATATGAAGTGATAATCTATGTATTTTGTCAGATTTTTTTGAGACTTCAATAAAGTAATTTTTATTTTTTTAAGTTTTAAGTTCAAGCGAACAACAAATTTTACTGTCGTTTTCCTCTAACCAATAGATGAATACTTTTTTATATCGCGTTCTACGTGCTCTAAAAAACGAGTATAAAAATATTTTAAATGCGCAAACTATGTCTAACGCAGTATTTAAGCCTAATATAGTCTTTTTTACACATGACTTTTCAAGCACCAAAAGGTTTTTGTTGGCATCGAAAACAAGGCTGCACAATTTCAAGTTGTGTGGAACAGCTAAGTAAAGCAGTCAAATTTTTTGTATTTTTATTTAAATAAAAAGTATACTTTATGTAATAATATTGTAAAATTTAAAAAAAACAATACATTTTATTATTTAATGTCAGGCGTTAAAATTTTTGAAAAATAGGCTTAGTACAACAGTATATCGCTAAAAGTTTGTTTTTTTAAGTAAGTGAAGAAATTCCTCAGGAAGCTTAAAAGAATTTAAAAGATAAATCGTTTTCACAAGCAATACTACTCGTGCCTGACCCGCATCGCCTAACTAAACTTACTGAAAAACAATTAAAAAAATATTTAGTACGAATAGCGGCAAATTTATTAATATAATTGTATTCTAAGAAAGTCAGTCTCTTTTATCGGGAGAAGGGAAAATTAATAGTACGAAAATCTTTTACTGGGCGTATTTAACTTGGAGGGTAGCATTGTTATATTTCTACTTACCTAGAAAGACGTTTCAAAGGATGTTATGCCTGTACGCCGAATTGTTTTGAATATCGTTACATATGAAATGCAAACAATTTTTATCTCTCCCTCAAAAAATATTTTATTCAAAAAAATTTGGTTTTCTTATATATTAATTTTAGAGTAGTTTTTTTAAATTATAAACGTAAAGTTTGATAACTTTGAATAAATCAATCAGCAAATTTTTTTATTTATAAACTTATATAAGGCTCCATGTCAGATAAAAAAGTAAGACACAGCAAGAAAAACACAGTAATATTTTTTTACTGGCCTTTTTATTTTAAGGTGTTTTAATAAAAGTGTAAAAAGAGTTTATTAAAGCAAATTTTTTTAAATTTTGGTCGGAACTATTTTCTCTAAAATAAGCGTCGTTTTTTTTTTAGTTAAGGTAGGATGTAAAGCTTACAATTACTCATTTTTAGTTTAGGTGTTTATACTGCCAAAAGTAGGATTATTTTTAAAAAGTTATTTTTTTTGTTTTAAAGTTACCCCATCTAAAGCGATTATCAATCTTTCCATTATACCTTGCTTTCAGATTAAAATATATTGTTAGACTGCTTTCGTTAACTTTTATAAAATTTTAACTCATCCTATGCACAAATTGTTTTTTATAATAAAATATGTCCACTAACCTAACTCCTTGGCATGAAACATTTTATTATGAGCCTGTGACGAAAGTTGGCTATCGCTTATAGTTAAAAAAACGCCTAAACAGGTTAGCAACTAAAGGCAACTTAACGAAAACTTTCCGACTTTATTACATTTAAGAGTTCTTTAATTCTTACTACTCACAACTAACTTTGCACTTTCTATAAGAACCGAAAAAACATTTTGCAATATAATAATCCTTCGCAAATAATATCATAATCAGTGGTAATTTATAAGTTATTTCTGTGCACTGCCATATTTGATTAAAGACCGGAGGGGTTAATATAAATTATTTATACTGAATTTATATACTATTTTATTAACTTCACTACCTTAGCAATGCTACTAAACGCAAGAAGCATGCATTTCTTAGTCTTTCAGACCGCCTAACAACTACTACCGTATAGTGGAAGTATAAGAAGCTCACAATTTTAAATTCCTCGTGCACAAGTAAAAAATTTAAAAGTATAAACAAAATTTGTCGCCTAGTGCTTTATTCCAGGGATCGACCCGAGTAACTTAAAAACAGTTAAAATTATCTTTCAAGCTTGCTTGGCGAGGAATGTTTATAAAAATTTCTTCATATATAACAATAATAAACATCGACTTGACTGCTTCATTGTATGAACTACTAAAACACCATAATAAAATGTGGCTTTATACTAGCTTAAAAATTCTGCTCGGTTCTCTCACAAACCTTAGAATCACGACTGTATTTTTAAATTTTAGAAATTTCTAATTAATATTTATGTGTGCATCATTTTATGGGGCATATAACATTTTTAAACAACATGCAAAAGTAATACAATATAGAAGATAAATGTGGTAAAAAAATTATCTTGATTATCAATCCATGAAAATCAGAACACCTGAAGTTTTAAGAAATCAAAAAATAGGATTATAGAACCAGCGGAATGTTTTAAAATAGACACAAAGAAAGATACAAAATACTTATACATGCATTGGACAACAACTGCCTTTGGGTCATAACGAGATTAATTTAAAGTGCTATCCTATCAAATTGACTCGAGGAGAAGCATAGGCAATACTACCTAACCTAGCAAGCCCACTTGGGCGTTTTATGCATAATAATATTAAGTTGCATATAAAATAGTAAAGGAGGTAGTGAGCTACCTTAGTGGAAACATAGACATATATATAGAATAAACGCCCCCCTACTTCATTCAGTATGCTTATTGAATGCTATACAGGTGCATCTCTGGCTGACAACGATGACCACTGTACCACAATAGGGCATAATGTACTAGCATCCAAAAACTTTATATCTTTTAAAGCAGAATATATGGAGTATGTCAGTTTTATATACACATAAAAAAGAAAAGATGCTAAAAGAGTAATTCCTTAACAAACAAGTTAAAGTGGTTTTTCGTACCGACAATAGGGCAGTAAAAAACGTATGCCGACGAAACGCCATCACATAAATTTTTTCTATCATCATTAGAAACAAGCATTACAAAGATAAAAATTCCGAAATAGACTGAAAAATTTATAAAGACATTAAAAAACCTTGACTTAAACTTACAACTAAGTAGGCAAAGCACGATATGAATTTATATATATGTTATACATAAAACACCCATCACAGGCCACAAAATGGAGCCATTGTACATTGCAACCAGAATCACGTGAGTAAACAGCCACGTTTTAACTAAAATGTTTTCAAGGTTAGGCAAGTGTTACTTATAGCATATTTGTTATTACAGACATATCAGTTTCGTACCAAATTTTAATAAAATGGAAAAGACAGGCAGAGTTGCTTTAGGAATACTTGTAGCAACAACAGCTATTGTTATTACTTATCTTTCTTATCAGTACCACTTCAAGAAAAGATCTAATCAGAAAAGTATATTTAATAATTATTTAGTTACAGTCCTCTTTGTTTTAGTTTTTCCTAATTTTTTAGAACTGAGGTCCAAGAAAAAAGTTTCTACCACTAGTAATATTCCTGTACGATTATTTCCATATTAATTACATGTATGATTATTATTTACTTATAAATTCAGTCTGATAATAAAAGTGAAGCTAGTGCTAATGACATTGATTCCTTGCGGGCTAAAGGGAATGCTAAATTCGGAGAAAAAAAATATCAAGAGGTATATATACTACTTTACAAAATTATATTTTTTTTTTAAAAAGTAAGTAGATAATGAAAAGTATTGTACTTTTTCTTTTTTAGGCCATTGATTTGTACTCTTTAGCCATTGCAAAGTCGGATTCGGCTGACCATTTGGGTTTAGCTAAGTGTTTAGGGAATAAGGCGTATTGTCATATTAAATTGGTGAATTTTTATTGCGTTTATCATAAAGCTTGTTTATTTTTTTTCACGATAGGAGGACTATAAAACAGCTATTAATGATTGCACGGAAGCGTTATCTCACGATCCTAACTATGTTCGTGCTCTACAGCGACGCGCTACTGCTTATGAATCCGTCGATGATCTTAAATCTGCGTTAAACGGTACTTGTTAAAAAAAAAGTTTCCATTTATATTTCGTATTAACAAATTCTTATTATACAGATTTAATTTCGATAACGAAGATTATCTTGCCATCTAATAAATCTGATTTGAAGCCATCACAGCAACAACAGGAGGTAATGGAGAATATTGATAGACTTTTGAAGGCAATTTCTACCGAAAAAGCCAAAGAGGCTCTTAAGGTCCTTATGTTTTTTCTTGGCTACTTTAAATTTTTTTATAGTTTTTACTAAAAGAATAAAATTGGAAGTTTTCCAACATCTTCTGTCGTAAAGTCATACTACGAAAGTTTTAAACGAGATTTAATTACTGAATCCTTCGACGAGCTTAAATCGAAAATGTCAGAGGGAGACGAATCAGCGAATTTACATTTCGGGCTTAAGTTTTATTTTTACTATTTTATAATGTCCTTTTATATATTTTCTTTTTTCTTTATTAGGCTAATAGAGGCGGAAAAATACGATGAAGCGTTGATACATTTTAATCAATTTTTAAAAAAATTTCCTAATAATTTTACTGCATTGGTTGTTTATTAACTATTTAAGTCATCTTTATTCTGCTTATAAGTTTTTTTTAGGTAGAAAAAGCGACGTTACTTCATTTATGCGGGAAAGTTGAAGAGGCGCTGGAACTGTACGAACAAGCTAATAGAATCAGCCCCGACGATCCTCACGTGCTTGTTAAATGGGCCAACGTGAGTGACCTTCTGAATTTCTTAGAGCATTATTACTGATAAGATTGGTTGATTGTTTTTCTGAAGGCTTTTTTATTTGCTGATAAATTGGACGAGGCAAATGCACTATTGGACAAAGCAGTCGCCATCGCGCCGGAAGGTAATTTTTTTTAAAATTTTTAAGACCTTTAAATTTCTATCAAAATTCAGACAGTGCTGTTCTTTTCCATTATGGAGAATCCTGTAATGCCCAGCGAAGGCACGAGGATGCCATTTCTTTTTATAATAAAGTGATAGCGGTTGATCCCGCACATTACGAGGCTTACAATCATAAAGGTCTGGCTTGCTTGGCTTTTTTGGAATCTAAAGGTTTTTTTCTTACTTGAATTTTTTTAAAGTAATTTCGATGTCCTTTGCATTTTACAGCGCCGTATATGACTAACGAGACGCAGAAAATTCAAGAGGCCAAAGAAGTTTATAAATTTATTCAATTTTATAATTTACCGTTAATAAATTTTATTAATCATTTTATGAAATTTACTTCTAACATAATTTATGAAATTATATTTTTTAATTTAAATTTTAAAATTTTATTTTTCATTAATAATTATAATAACTTTTTTTAAGTATTTTATTATAATTTATTGTAATAATTATTTTTATTAATAACTATTGTTTTCTTTTGATTTTTAATGGATTTTTAATTTTCTAAATTATATTGCTTAGGCCTTTGAGCGAGCCATTGAGATTGCTCCTTCCCGCGCGGAAGCTTATAATAATTATGGCCTTCTTTATTCTCTCTTGCAGGAGCCTGTAAATTTCATTTTTTTTTTGTTTAGAAATTATAATTAAATTCTCGATGCCAATTAGACTAAAGCTCACGACCTTTTTGATAACGCTCTCAAAGTTGATCCCGGAAATTCCACAGCATTTACCCGAAAGGCAGTTTTTTTTTTGCTATTTTTAAAAAAATCTCTTTGTTTTATTGCGATTTTTCAGGGTTTTTTAGAGTTCCAACTTTTCCAGGAACCTCAAAAAGCAATCGACTTATTTAATAAGTCTTTGCAATTGGATCCTCATAATGTTGAGGTATTATTACTATTATTAAAAAATTAATCTCAATAATTATTATTTTATATTTTTAATTATTTAAATTTTATTAAATTTGTTATAAAAGGCTGAGATCAATTTATCTTTGGCTTATTTAGCCACTAATCGGCCAGAAGAGGCCGTTCGTTGTTATAAGAGAGCCATAGAGAAATCATCTGTTCTTTCTTTGGTAAATTTGTTTTATAAATGTACCATAATTGCGTTACTGCGTATAAAATTTCTTAGGATTTACCGCAAATTTATTATTATATGGAAACTTGCAAATTGCAGTGCCAACTTGAACGAAATGAAAATATTTGAACTAATAAAATTCAATAATAGATTATTTTATTCCTTTGGGCGTTTTTAGAATTTGATTTATTATATGAAATTTAGCAACTTCTATTGCCAACGCAAATATTATAATTTTGACTTCAATTTTTTTTGTTAGAAGCTTTACGGTTTTTAAGGATTATACGTAAATCTTCATTCACTTATAAACTTTATGTAAGCGAATTTCTTTGGATTTCTAAAAAGATCACTACGTATCATATAGTTTTTAATTCGTGTCTATTAATAATAAATTTTGCAATTTTATTTTTAATTTTTATTTGGGGAACGTTAATTAAGAGCTTTTTTTAGGGCATTGAATTTAATTTGAAATTTTTATTTAAAAGCACTAACTATTTACAAGAAAGGCCTCAACGTATTTATTATTAAATAGTTAGTACTTTACTTAACTAGTAAGTTAGCGGTGAATCTTTAAAAGATTTTATCTTTCGGAGCATAAACGTCGGAAGCTTGAAGACGCGCTGGAAGGTGAAAAAATCCGTTTAAAATATATTTAACTTAAAAAACGAAAAAAAAAAAATTTAGTTTTGAAAATTATTACTTCTGAGAAGTTTTACTTCACAGGAAAATTAAGAAATTATATGGTTGATTTTACTGTTGTAGTGTATTGCTAAACATACACTTAAAACAATTAAATCGTTAAAGATTTCTTTTTCTATAAAACTTTAAAGGGAAAAATTGAAAGCGTGCAGGAACAATTTTTATCTAAACTAAATTGCTCTTCGGGAGTAAAAAGCGTTAATTACCGAAAATATTGTAAATTCGTTAATTATTGGAAAAAATATTTATGGGTGTCTTTAGGTGCTATGCTCTCTTGCTTTATTCTATAATGAAAAAGCAAGCCGCTGTTACGCCATTTCTTTCTCAGTTTTCCCTCTCTATAACTATTTTTGTTTGTCACCATCGACAGTGACTAAATACTACAAGTGGAAATAAGAATTTAAATGGAAAGAGGTTTACGTTTAGTTAAAAGAATATATATAGTACCTTCCTCAGGATAGCAGACTCGTGTTCGTAAGTCATGTTTAAATTTTTAAAAATTATTATAGGTAAACTAAACAGGATGTAGGGTAGACCTTTAAACTTCAAGAGCTCGCTTTGTATATTGCTATAATGCAAGAGCTTTTTTTATAAAAAAAAAAAAAAGAATAAGTTACTTATATGCTATAATACGATCCACTGTAACTTACGCTTCACTGGCTTGGAATAATGATTTTAACTATAAGAATACTAGAGAAATACCAGGCTAGTCTACTACGGAAGTTTTTTCAATTTGAAACCAAACACTCAGTGAACTAGTTATTCATCTCAAGATTTAACTTTTTCCCACTATATTTGTTTTGAGAACTATACGATACGCGATGCTGAGGAAATGCTGCGGGACGTTTGCAAATGCTTTAACCAATGCTTAGTCAACTCAGTGCAACTAATTTTCTTTGTCCTCACAGTCGATCTAAATGACAATATAGAGCACTAACGAAAAATTAAGGGGTATACATCACACAAGTACTAAATCTTTAACCAAACCTCACTCCTAGTTTAAGGTAGTTTTTTGTATAGTAAGATAACGGTAACCTCACCCTTTTAATATAGGCAGACCTAGATTGAGCAACAATTTTCGTTATACCAAATATGATTATTGTAATGTTTATTTGAAAAAGTATCGATCTATTACAGTTTCGGAAGGTTCTTTTTGTTAAATTAATAAAGAATTATATGTAAAAAAACACAATTTAAGATGTTCTGCACATATTGAAGTTTTAAGCAATATAATCAGGGTTATTAAACTTTTTTATTAAAAAAAACTATTTCTACGAAAATTGGCAAGCATATTTGTAACTTCTTTTTCAATCTTGCTTGAATTAAGCTTGTAAAATTAATTCCCATTTAAATGATAGAACTTTGTACACTTATAATTTGTAGCTATGTTAAAATCTTTTAAATGAGAAGCGAATTAAAAACCATATTTACCTCAATACTTAAAAACTTTTACGTGTTACTAATATTATTTTTTACTATACTCTCGGGCAGTTCCTTTTTAATTATGACCGAACTGAACATTTCACTCCATTAGAAAACTGTTTATTTTCCTTATAACTCCAATATTCTTATATTTATTTATTCAAAATATTGTAACTTTTGCTGTTAAGTTATTATATTCTACTCCTGAGACGTTTATAGTTGAGTATTTATTTCTCTAAACAAACGAGTAAGATATGAAGTTACTGTGCGTTGAAGCCTTCTTTTATACTTTTAAATGAATAAGTTAAACTTGTATTTTTTATATAGCATGATAATATATATCTCTCGGGTATATGTCTACCAATAAAAGCTACTAATAATATTAATATTGCAACTCATTAGACTTAAAATTATTTTTTAGTCCGAAATTGATATAGCTATTGATTTTATGGAAATTGATAGAAACGTAATGCAACCGAATAAGAAACTATTTCGTTAAGTTAATATAAATTCAAAATAAAATAAGGTTAAAGTTAAACTGAATTAACACGTGCAGCAGTCATTCAAGGCTTTGCGTCCTTTAAAAAAATCTACAGGATTTCATTGAAGCGTTAGCCTCGTTTATATTTTTAGATGCGCACCAGAGTAATAATTATATAAAACTAAAAAGATTAGCATTCACTTAACTAAGTGCCAGTAGACGTCTGAATAATCTTAAAGGCAAGCAATATAGCGCGAGCCTTGATGCATGATAAGTAGTAATTATATTAAACTAATAGAGATTAGCATTCAATTAACTACATGCCAGTAAGTGGTTACTGTTAATAATGGAAATATATAATGGGCTGGAAATACCATCCACTTACAGCTAAAAATTTGAAGGCGTTGTTATTTTTAATAGCAACCCCTGGAAATTGTGATGTTTTCTTAGTTGTTTATAAAAAAAAAGAAAAAGGAGAATCGAGAGTCCTATTCTCAGCAGCATATTCAATAAAAATTCCTAAAGTGCTAAAGTAATCGCTTCTTATGTTGACTCCGTGCAATTTTGTCGCCCAAACTCAAAGCCATGCCTACAAACAAGGCAGAAGATTTAAGAAACTTGCAGGGAAACGTGGTCTACCGGGGCGACCCCACCTTGCGTTTTAGCACGAACTCGAATGTGTCCCGCAATTTTGTTGTCGTTGTCTTTCTCGAGTGATAGGCTAGCAAGTACGTCCTCCCCAAAAATACTACGAGCGTAAAGAATGGAGGCATAAAAGTTGCTTTCGCCTTGAAAAAGAACCAAAGAATTTAGCCAAACAAATTAGTTAGCCAGTCTCAAAAATGCACCTTTTTGTGAACCCTTTAAAGTTAAACAATTCATGTTGGTGCACGAAGCAATATGGCTGACATACTCCTCTAGAGACGTAATATCTAGTGAAGAAGAGGAGGGTCAACCCCTTCAACAAACATCTCCATTCGTGCGCTATAAGAAAACCCGTCTTGACCGTCAGCTTATTCTCCCACTCAAAGTCTGCCCACATGCGACGAAATTCCTCGTCTGTGCACGTAGAAGGTTGGATGTAGTCTATGGCGTCCACAGAGATATCGCTCAGCACCACACAGGAGGTGGTGGTTGTCCCGCTGGCGCACGGTGAGAGGAATTCGATTAGCTTGCAGAAGGGAAGGAAGGATACGCATGCCAACCACCTGACATCGTACGCAAGGAGGCCAAATATGAGTCCCCCGTCAGAAGAAGACAGCTTGATGCCTACTTTGATGGTAATGAAACCCTCGGGGGCTAACGTGTACTGTTCAGGCCTCTCGGACACCTTCAAGGCGCCAACTGTGAAAAGTTCGAGGCAGAGATTGTGGAGTGTGTCTCGAGTTTGATTGACGACAAGTATAAGGAGCGTAAGATCGAACTGTTCGATCGTAATAAGCGCCTCCGCAAAGATGGGGTCGGACAAACCAGTGAGCTGCACTGGCTTTTCAAAGTCGGCTTTCAGCCCGTGCATCTCGCCTGTTCCTACGCGAGGTTAGCTATGAGCTTCTCTATTAGCGCCCCAATGGAAAAAGAGGTCGCATGGCAAACCAACGGCTATGGAAAGGGAAGCCTCCAACTCATCTTCCAACTCGCTGGCGGTGCCCAAATGGCGAAAAACGAGGGCATCGTCAACCTTATAGAAGAATTCTATTAATATCGATATGCAGGCCTTTTTCTTAAAAGGCAAACTTGCGCGGCATGGACGGGTTGAGTTTGCTTCTCAAAGTCGTTGTTGCTCTCCTTCCTTAAATCCTCTAATAAGTTATTCCAAGCCAGTTGGCACTAAGCGAACCACGTAGCAAGACGGTCAATGAAAGAAGTTTTATGTAGAATACCTCGTGCAAAAATGCCCGAACGGCGATGGGTTGCGGTTCGGAAAGGACCCGCAAACAGAGTACAAGCCAGTCGTGAGAGTCCTAAAGAAGTTTTATAAACCTTAACAATTCCAAACAGAATAAAAAAATAAAAACCCCATCAATAGCGTGAGAGGTCATTCCAGAGGTTCCCAAGCGGAGGATGGCGGCCATGATTAGTATGGCCTTTGCTGAGGCAGATTCTTAATACAAACAAAGGAAAAAAAAAAAAAAGAAAACTCCACCAGTGCGTTTGTTGCATTCTGCATCGTTCGGGGCCAGCTCTCGCCTCCGTAACACCAACTTTACTAGGGTACTAGCCAAGGCAATCGCGACTAGATACTCCCCCTCAGCACGGAGACACCCGTTAAAAAAAAAACAACAAAAATAGAGCACGTGCTCACCTCATAGAGCATATCGCGTAACGGGGTGAACGATTTTATCGTGAGCGTCTGCGAAGCGCTGGCGGGAGTAGAAGCTGTAAAGGCGCTCTGCGTTGCGTATGATCCATCTGTGTTGAGCTTAAAGGCTTCAAAGTTAGTAAAGGAACTTTTAAAAAGAAATCAGTAAGTCAGAAAAAAATTACTTTCACTCCATTGCTTGAAACTGCCTCGACTCGCCGGTGGGCCAATTCACCTTCGTTCCTCTCCTCCTCGGCAGGCTACAGGGCAGACCTTACAACGAAGGCGTCCGAGTGTAAAAAAAACATAGAAGGCACGACCTGCTGCTTTGGGGGGACAATAGGCAATTCTCCAATAGCGTCGCAAACGGTGTCAAAAACTCTATCACCAGTCTCTTTCTCTTCGCAATACTCTCCCTTTTTCGTATAAAGAGAACAGTCGAGACGAATGCCGAACGCTAGGAATGTTTAGAGTTACCATTATCCACAGGGTCGCTCGAAGGACATCGAGATCTTTAATGTAGTAAAAAGAGTCTAGCAGCTTCTCAATAATACTTTTCCTAAGAGCAGGGAAGTACACGATGGCCTCTCTTACGCTGAAAATCACTTCCCGAGAAGAAGCACTGGCTTCTCCTAAAAACACCATGAACTTTAAAGAGACCTGCGCTTGAAAAACGCCAACCTAAAAAGTCCAGAAGGAGAGGGACTATCTGGGGAGCCACTGAGGGAAAGCGTATGGCGCATCCGTGCAGAGTCCGCACCAGGCTTTGCCTATACTCATCGCTAAAGTCGACTTCGTCATGAGTCTAATCATGAAAGCTGGCAAACGCCCTACAGAAGTAAATGGAACATGCGAACCTTTAGCAGTTCTTTTCGCAAAAAGGCGACCACCTCCACGATGTTTTCGGAGATAATACAGCGGCTGGCTATACCCAAAACCTTTCGTCGAACATCAAGGTCAGAAGAGCACAGACAGCGGAGCAGATCCATGATTTGGCCCTCAAACACGCTGGAGTGCCCCGCCAGACTCCTAAGAGCTGCGAGAGCCCCACGAGATCGAAGCCGTTAAGCAAAAGAATGTAGCAAAGACGGCGTGCGCCACAAAGAAGAACCCTCAAGGCGACTAAGGACGACCAGCTTGACATTGTTGTCACTTTCTCGATATATCAGCTCCATGAGAGTTTTGGCCACGGCAGTCACGGCAGTGGGCGCGCTCGTGAGCACAAGCAGCGTCTTCCCGGCCTCAAATCTGAAAAGTGTAGTGTAGCCGCTCAGCATAATGAACTTGTCATAAAACTCAATAAGATTAACTTTACAGCCGGGCTGGAGGCACTAAGTAGCTGGTATATAGGGCGAATGAAGCTGACTCGCCGGGCCGGACAGCCCCTGCAGACCTTGTAAACAAGCTCCACAAACATCAACTGCAAAATGTCGCCGAACTTCTGAATCTCATGGAGTCTGGAAGTGACATACTCCTATTTGGATACTCAGAAAAAAAAAAACCTACTAAATGCCTGAAAGAAATTAACTAAAGCGCGTTCTGGAGCGGCATAGGTAAGCATCATGAAAGCGTTCCTGCGACAGGACATATCACTTTCTTGCTCCAAGTAAGATTGGATAATCTAATAATAAACTTGAACGAGGAAGACAAATGGAGACGGAGAGGAACCCAAACCTCAGGTGCATCCGGAAGCAGAGACGGAAACTTTTTATAAATTGTGTAGATGCAGAGTACAGCGTTTCGGCGAACGTATGGATTTTTATGCTTCAAGTTATCGCAGATGGCGGTCATCAAAGGCTCCAGCAAATCCGGTTCCCGTAATTTGCAAAGGAACCGAAGAGTGGCCTGTTAATAAATTATGAAAAAGATCACTGTGAAAATATAAACTTCAGTAAAGGAAAAATAACCCCACGTATGTACTCGTTAGGATGTTCAAGTTCTTTGCGAAAGGCATCGCATACGAGTATCATTTGCGGAAGAAGTTTTCCATCATCTGAGCGTTTGGGAACAATTTCAAAGTAAATTAACAATAACTTTTTTAGATTTTTATCCTGTAAAAGGTAATGAAAAGGTTAAGAAATGTTGAAATTCACCTTAAATTAGTGCTTTTATTAACTCTAAAGAACAGGAAGGTTATGAAAAATTAACAAAGAACACTTAAAAAAAATAAAATAATATCTTCCTAACTTTAAAATAAAACTAAAAAGGATAAAAATCTTATAATAAGAGTTTTATATATAAATTAATATTTCGTAACAAACAATATTTTAACTTTTCTAGGGAGAATAAAACGGATTACGTGCATAAGCAGAGATGGATACTTACTCCCTTTATTATTTATAATATATTAACAAAAACAGAATATAAGGAGGCTGAAAAGAAATTGTTAAGCACCCCCTAATAGGCCTCTTATTATTTCTGTTAGACTCCTAAACTTGTCAGCGTCCCCTCCTTTTTCTATTTGAACTTTAAGTTGCTGTTCTGAAGTAAATTCACAATCTTCATAGGATATCAAAGTGTAGCAGGGTTCTTCAACAGTCATTATTAATACTAGAATGGCCTTCAGTTATAAGCAGTTCTAATATAAAAACTAAAGTAAAATGACGCAGTTATATAAATTTCTCAGTATACTTACTATTATGAAATTGTATGATTGCTCTTTGTAAAATGTGCAGTGATAAGAAGGGGAAAGGAGTTTTAAAATTGGAAAGCACTTTGAGGTCAGAAGTTAGTAGCGGTGGATTTATAACAAATATATATATATATGCAGGCTATTACAATTTTATTGTAAAATAAATAATATATTAGAATTATACTTACCTAATATATTAGTATTGAATTCCGGGTTACAATATAATTTTTTTAATAATCAATTTTATCTTTTGGGAGCCCTATAAATTCACAGAAAAACAAATTTTTTTAATATAAAGCCACCTGGAGAAACTTAAAAACTTTACTTTTCGTAATTTATTGTTTCTCGAACACTATTTTACCTGAGAGATATACGGTGTTTTTGAGAAAAAACCCAAAGCCTCACACATAGCTTCTTTGATAAAAGTTTTTCCGAATGCTCAGAAATAAAAAAAATGCTTATAATTTTTTTTAATTCCTGCGTAAATACCTTTGAAAGATGAATTTTTTAAATAGCAGGATCTTAATTGAAAAAACTTTGAAAAAATAATATAAAATAAACTTATCTATTTTATAATTATAACTTTTTCTTATAAAAAATGCTTCCTACTTTTTACGTTATGATAAGACACTCTCCTATGTAAAATGGTATTATAGATAGTTATGTGATAAATTTTTTGTAAAGCTGTTTAATCAACTAATTAATAAAAGCATTGATTACTGATACAAGACCATTATATAAGTATAAGCTTTCAAAAGTACCCACATTTACTTTATTAGGCTATATATATTTGTTAATACTAATAACGGTGAACTAAGAGTTAAAGAAGTTCACAACTTCTTATGAACATGTAATAATGGTCATATTTCGAAACTCAGACTCTTGAAGTATAAATTAATATTAACCTTCTATAAAATTTTAAACATAAAACTTAAATCTAGGGCAAAAACAGGTTGGTAGATAGAAGATGGTCAAGTATAGTTCAGCATGCCAATAGTATAGGTAAAATCGGCAACTAATATTTTCTATCCTTTATTTGTTGTGGTAAGGATGAGGTGCTTAAAGGTGCAAGTCGTATGTTGAATATATACCACAATAACGCATTTGAGTTTCCAGTGCACTTCTGCTTGGGTGTGAGCGTAAAACAAATTAATAAAATTTTGTTTCTTTTTGATAGAAATCATGCGTTATAGTTAAGCTTATAAACTACGCGTAAGTGTTTTTATCAACAAAAAAATTCAATGTCCATAGGAATTAATTCTACATAACTTTTAAATTTGGAATATACTATTACGCCGCACTATTATAAACACTACGAGCTCAGTGTAGACCGTATTAACAACCATACTGAAGTCCCGGAAGTTTAATAAAACAGACCGAGTGGTTTTGACAATCCAATTTAATTTCAATTGAGGTGGGAAAAACAGAAGTAAAAGTGTAGATTTGGCGAGAGAACAAAAAATAAGTCCTAACTAACTCCAAAAGGGTAAGCTTTGCCGATTAAAGTTATTTACAACATTTTACATAAACTAAGTGGCGCAGATAACGACGATAATATTTTAAACTTTTAATCCCCGCAATCAAATTTTTAAGTTAGAATACAGTTCAATGTCAATGAAAAAGATAAAATTGGTTCATTATCGGCGTACATTAACTTTTTGTTATCATTACTAAAATATGAAAAGATAAAGTAGACAAACATCATTCTGCTACAAAAGTTTATACAACCCTATAATCACTGAAGAGGCCAATGAAATAAAGATTGATTATGAGTATGACTATATAAATAAAAAGAGCTATGCGTTATACTACCGGCGTTATTTGCTGCAGTAAAGGCAATGTGCATGAGTTTAAGAGTTATAAGGCAATATGAATATATAATGTTCAAATAGAGAAAATATACGAGACAGTTAAAAATATGAAGACGAATAAGCTTTACAAAAAACTGAAAAGATCAAGCGCTAAATTTTCGACTGCCCCTAAAGACAGGAAAGATAGAACATGCCGAAAAACTAAACCAAACATAAACCATTATTAAGGGCAGTTTTCCAACCCAAACAAAAGTAAACATTCCTTTCCGCGGTGAATGTTGACCTTGAGCGAGAGCTGGATAAAAGAAGTTACCATATCACGACGCGTTGATATAGATTGTCAACAGTTATTTCGAGTAGTGGCATAGCTCACAAGTCAAAAGCTAGAACACGTGTGACCAACGCATTGTAGAAGGTGACATAACTAAAGCAGGTTAACATAGATCCAACATTCATTCCACCCACGGAGGCGCCCTCTTGCAACCTTAGACCGTAGCCTACGGAAAGTCAGCGAAATTAACATCTATGCTTGGTACGTGTAGAATATAGGGTCAATTTTTTCGACCTTTACGATAGCATCCTGGGGATAACGATCAATCATTACCATGCTAGAGTGCACAACATTGGACGGAAGTTACGAGAAAAGCAGACGATCAAATCCAAAAAGCTGCATAGTTCTTTCACTGAACCCGACCTACACAGATGAGGTAAATCTACTCACTTAAAGTATGGCCGGATAATAGGCAAGATCGCTGAAATTAAAGCTCTATGGAGGATGCTTAAGCACATCTCCGCGCAAAACATAGATGTTGAATAAAAAAGTATAGTAAGCCTGCCGAGAAGAGCTCGAGCAACGTAATGAGTGAACAAATTCGCCTACGTATTTTCAAAACAGGTTAATTAATTTAATTGGTCGTTGTGAACCAGAATATAGTATTGATATTTAGAAAAGGAACTACTTCACGAGGGATCCCACGTTTATATATAGTTCTCATTAGGTATTTACCTAGTACTATGCCAAAGTTGTTTATTAAACAAGAAGAGAGAACTACTATTTAACTGAATATTGAGTCAGCTAAAGATTATTGCAGAATCTAACCGAGTGTCACCATTAATAAAGCTCGATCATAAGTTTAATACTAATATATAACTATTAAGACAGCAAAGAATATATAGTCTAATAAAAAATATTCATATTTTGAAAAAAGTTTAATCTTATAATGGGAAGGCTCAACTAAAGTTCCAAACAAAGCCTCTTAAGTACCTAGAATCAGGTATCAAAAGTATTATCACGTATTACTCATTTTGGAGCCTACTTTGAGCCTCATAAGACAGTTCACGCGCAATATATCTTTATATACTAGGTGGTATTAGAAGGGTTACCTACAGCCAGAGAGTGGCGGATTTTCTAGCAATAAATACTATTTCATACCGAAAAAAAGAGAGGCAAGCAGCCAATCGAACAAATGGTTCAGTATCAACCAAGGTTAAAATAATTTTTGTAGAAATTACCTCAAACTTACAGCTAGCTAAGGAAGAAGTCATAGTGTTACTGTCATCACTTATTATGACGGTCAACTTGCTATCTCTGCCAGCAAGTAAGGACAGTTGAAAGCTTAAAAAAGTAGGCTTACTAATGCCTAAACAAGACCAAAAGTGTGGTTATCTACTTTACTAGTTAAACTATCGAACTTGAGTTGAAAGTATTTTTGTTTGGTAGGAGAGCTGGTGGGTAACCATTCTAGTGTAAAGTAGTGCTAGCACATAAGAACCTTAGTTGATTTTTCTATGTATTATTACAGAGGAAGATTAGCCAAAGACCAATCCATTAATTCTAAGATTTCCGTTGGAGAAATGTAGACAGAGCAAGTATCAAAGGGAGGGCAGTACCGCTATTAAGTTAACCACTAATTGATAGACGAGCCTCAAGCTAAAGAGCACAGACTGGAAATTACCAGTTTTAAATATGACTAAAACTTATTAGAACCACTATGGGTACTACTACATATTTTCTAACTTAAAAGTGTTATGAAATCTTTTAAGATCTACGAACCACAGCCTGTTTTACCATTCTTAATAGGAATTCCTTCGAACCGTAGGGGGGGGAGGTGCGGATTTACTGTAACATAACCCTGTTGTTACCTGAGATTAAAGCAGGTCAATAGCCTCCTTGAGTACTTACAACCAGAGCAAGATAATATAATCTAAACCCAGGGTTGCTAACCAACCAAGTTTCAGAGAGTCACTAAGCTGTTTTAACAAATTAACAAGGAAGCAGTGATACTTGAGGATTTTTAACCAACTCAGTGACCCAGTGGCAGTGACTACACTGACCGTTAAATCAGTCCGCGAATGGGAAGTCGGCCCGAACCACGACCAACTTTCGATATTACAGGAGAACGGGATCGTTGACTTTTATTACGGGATATATCATTTTCAGACACATACAATGCTTCAATTACACGAGAAAAATGCTTGCAGAAGATCCACAAGGAGTCCTTGTTAAGCCAATGATAAAATTTTAAAGTAAAGAAATTAAAGGTCAAACTTCAAAGTACGAAGTTAAAGCTCCAGGTGCCTGAGGACTTCAAAAAGTGGAAACTTCAAAAAGTGGAGCTTTTCTTAAGGGGCCAGGAAATTATTTATTTAGGTGTCGAATTCAAACACACACCCTTACCTTATTAAATGATATCTTTTCATTTTAAAATCTTACAACTTCAAATTTCGTAAAACAAACTTTTATTAGGGGTAACAGGACTCAAACGTGAGCATTGAACTTTCAAAGAATGATTGGTTAAAATAATAATAAAAAAATTCGTTCCCAGCTTTATAATTATTAAAAGCTTTTTAACTATAAAAAAAAGTTTTTTATATATATAAAAATGCTTTTGTTACTATTTATTATTGTATATAATAAAATTTTTATTTATAATAAAGTGGATGGATAATATGATTATTTTAATAATTATTATAAATGTTATTATTATTTTAAATCATCATCCCCTCTCATAATATTACTATCTATTAGATTCCCCACCACGCCAAAATGTGGGCAGAACCACTTTTTAAGGTATCGAGTTCCAACATAATGGTAGCGTAGAGGACATGTGTACAATTTTTTCTCTTCTTACTTTTGTCCTTAAACTTTGCAACGTACCTTTTTTTTTTTATTTGGCTACTGTTTACCACACACTAAGGCAAATAGAAAAAGATGTGGTTATTATATCTCAGCTTGTTTATCAATTCTTATACTGATGCAGATGTTGCCCGCTTAAGTTTCGTTCGAGATTACTTTATAACTTTTCAGGATGTTAGTATCTAAATTAATTTGAGAGCTCGAGTATTCGAATTTTATTAACTCGATCGAGCACCAGGAAATAACGTTTTAAAGTAAAATACATGAAGTAATTTGATATCTGACAGCAATTTTTTTAAAATGAGGAATAGGTAAGTTTTCACGAGATAATCTGTTTCTGTTTATCTATCTATAATGACTTGAACGTCACAGACTAAATTTTTGGATCTTTCGAACTATTACTGTGGGAGGAAAAACGATTTTAGCTATAATTATTTTATTGTTAATCTTTGGCTTTTCCATTCTTATTTCCGGCATATTTTTCCGTACCTACTTACCTCCAGCTTTCTATATTTTACCAGTTCAGTTTGAGTATCTTCATACAGACCTTTACGGTAACCTAACCTTCGTTATTATTATTTTTTTATTGATGACGCAAAATCTTTAGATCAGTACGTTACACTAAAAGATGTTGACGATTCCGTTTCTTTATCCCCAAACTTCCCAGCCGCCGAAGTTGAATTGAAATGTTGACCATACTTACTTTCTTCTTTGCCTTATTAATAATATATAGATATTACTATTTTTTTTATTGTCTTACTAAAAATAACTTGTAATAAATAAATATGAGCGTACAGATTAAGTTTGCGAGCAGACCAGGGATATGATGTAACAATTATAATAGAATTACCTGCTTCAGAGGTTTGTAATATGCATATTAGGAAGATTTTTTATTGCGCGCAATAAAATTGCTATTGCTTAAAAGGAAAATCGCAATTTGGGGTTATTCATGATTGAGCTTTACTTATCAACAGAAAGCACTGGGAACATCCTAAATAAAGTTACCTATTTTATAAAATGGACTGTATTGAGTTAATTATTAATTAAAAGGTGAGAAAGCCCGTTCGACACAATTTTAAAGGCCCGATTTTTAATTCGAGTCCAGTTAACTGTCAGAAATGGTAACTTAAATTGTTACAACTTTATGAAAAATTAACTTTTAGACCTATTTTTAGTTTAAATCAATATTGTCCAAATTTTGAGAAAGAGGAAGATCCTCTCACTACTAAAAAAGCTAAGGTAAGTTTTACCCCTAAGCTTATAAAATCTTTGAATAATGGAAGATAACTAACTTTATACTAAATAAGGTGGTAGTTACTTAAGAATATTACTAGCTACTAATTTTAAATCTAAGTTATATACGTTTTATTAATTGGCCGAACAGGATCTTTATTTTTCCCAGACGCGCCTCTTTGGGCTCACTAAGTTTTTATTATTTCCTTTGTCAATAATGTCAACTTGTCGTAAATATATAATAACGCATTAAATCTATCATAAACTTTCTTATCGTACTCTGAAGGCAGTTTAATAGCGCTTTCTATAACCCCTTAGTTATCATTACAAAACGAAGAATAAAAATAAACAAATGCAGTACTTTAATCATAAATTGTGTAAGATAATACCAGTATTTATGAAGGTATATATAAAAAATATTAAAAAATAATTAAGAAAACTATATTGTTAACGCAAGAATTTTTAAAAAAATTAACATTGGATTTTAATAAAAAAGCTTCACCTCTTGTTTTGTACTTGATGGGACTTAGCAAATTGTAGAGTACTAATTTTAAACGTTATTTTTATGGATTAACGAACGTAAGTATTTCTTGCTAAGTTTTCGTTGACAAAGGAAGGTGATTAAAGTATTTAAAGCATATTGAAGGCCTTAAAACTGTCGCCAACACATTAAAGTTAAAAAAAAATTTAAAAGGACAGTCCGCAGCCATAAAGTTAGACAGTTAAAACTTTCTGTTCGGTCATTATGTTCTATTTTATCAATTAAGCCATCATACTTTAGCTCTAGCGATCAGCGCTACCTATGAATTTTATATGAGCCATTCAGTACCAACGTCTACACTGAAGTGTATGTGCTTTACTAAATAATTTATGGTTAGAGGCAAAATATTCTCGTCTCCCGCAAGCCTGCCATGTTGAGATACCAATCACAGCTTACACGCGTGGCAAAATTTCTTTTATTTCTCTTGTTTTATATTTTTGGTATATTCGAGGAAACTCAAAAGCTTACTATTGTAATGTTTGAGAACTTATTTGACGGTAGGCGTCGTATATACTTTGTAATCTATAAATTTACTTAGCCTTATAACTCTATAATTTCTAACGTCAGGTTATAATAATATACCCATCGTTTCCGCCAGAATTCAACTCTCTAAACCTGTTCAGGTTTTTAGTTAATCTTATATATCACGCGAGGAAGTAGCACTTTATCTGCAAGCCTTATTCCAGGTTTACTCATGCAAGCTTCGGTTTGATACTCATTTTAAAGGACTTAAGTGGTTTATGCACTGGCACCCAGTGACTTCTTTTGTAATAATAACTTTAGGAATTTTTTTCTCCCTTCTTGTACTTTTCAGCTGGGTAGTCTTATATGGGCCATTTTTTAGTTCAGCTCCACGAAGTAAACTAAATAAAAGTAGAACCAAACTTTTACAATCTCGTTCAAAAATATACGAGCCAGAAGACGAGGCTGTCTATTATGACGCTATTTCCTCTACTAGGAAAAGTGCTGGCTTTGAAAGAATTTTAGCTGTTAAAAAATAGCTTTTAAATAAAATGTGACTTTATTTTTTTTAATTTATTTAACAACACTAATAATGTTAGAGCACCTCTCTTCTAAAAGTTAGACATTTCCTTTTATAAGTACTCAACAATACAGTGATACAGGATTTGGAAAGGCTCCAACTTTAAAGTAACTAAAGTTAAAATAATCAAGAAAAGATCTATTAATAGATATTTGAATTTATTCATAGTAACTGTTAATTTAGGTATGGTAAAAGCAACAAGAATACAAACAAATCACAGGTCAAAACAAGGGTAAGTCTAAGAACTAAAACACAGTAGGAATCTACTGGTAAGTAGCATAGTAAGGAGATCTTTTAGCGAAAACAAGTGGAAGCCCTTAAAAAAAAATTTAGACCTTGAACTATACACAGGGTGGATATTTTGTAATATTGTTTGCGCCTAATGCATGCCTATGTAAGTGGCGACGGGCTTTGAAGAATTCTGTTATCCTCACAATTAGCATTTATTCAATTTGTTTAACATACCAGGTCGCCCGGAAAGGTCCCGGAACCCCACTACTTAAACAAAACTTTTTTGGCAAAATTTCAACCTTATAATTTAACGGAGACTCCTTCAAGAGCGATACATTCAGACCAACGCTCTTCCAGTAGTTCTACCTTTTTTATAAAACGATTTTTTTTTTGCCTTTTAAGTGTCTGTTTCGGCGATAGCTTTTTCGTATTACCCAAGCCTATTCCCTGGAGCATTTTTTTTGAAGTCTGCAAAGAGACAACAGTTGCTGGGTTACAGATCTCTGGTGAGCCTTCAATTTAACAAAAAAAAAAACCGTGACTTTTTTAATTGAATGTCTTCTGTAATGTTTTCGACCAGTTTTGGTTTTTACCATCAAATTACGAATAAATAGGAATGTAAGGCAAAATAAACATCGAGACCTTGTTTTTTTTTTAATTTTTTAATTTCTTTTACTTTTTAGTTTATTACGTTATCAGTACCAAACGCTTTCTATTTTATTTATTTTGTTCTATTTTATATTCTTTAATAATGCAAATGAATATGTCAGTTAATATTCAGAACTATCGGAACTATCAAGCGATTTGGAGAGGCGATCAATTGCAAAGGTCAGAACAACTCCAACATTGGATTTAACAATTGTTTTTAAGGATTCGAAAATGGATTACATAACATATTTTTTACAAAGAAAGTAATTGGAGATGAAAAAGTTCTATCTAGCAAGGAGAAATTAGTACAAATCCCTAAAGATTTCATTATAATTTATGAAAGCTTACCCGCTAGCACTAAAATTAAAATCGCTGGCTTTGACTTGAAACAGCCTGATTAGCAATTCAATCTGTGAGGGACATCTTAGAAACTAAGTCCCCTTTGGCCTTTGCTAAAAAACTAGAAGATCTATGTATTGTTAAGAAAAATTCGGAGGAAAAATTCAACCGAATGTATGCTAGCAGATTAGAATATGAGTGATACGATAACCCACTCGTGCACGAACTCAAATACAAGCATTACCTGAACTGCTAAATGTACTTGAAGCACTAGATACGACGTATAGGTTGGAGAAGAGTTTCGTATAAATAGTATGAAATTAAGCAACTTTGTATAGCTGATAAACGAGAACCTGACTACGCCTATGTTAAAAATATTATCGAAGCTCAAAATAGACAATTAACTATGAGCATAAACTCTTCTCTAAATTTTTTAAACACGGAATTGATGAATCAACCAACATGGGTAAGATATAACCGACATAAATAGACAAAATAACTCTTAAAAATTATTATATCTGAGACGTAATGGAAACCATCATTCACATGACTGTCAGTATAAAAATGAAAAATCACAGTATTGTGATAAACTTAAATATGTTGCCAGAGCTTGCTTTAAATTATATCGAGGAACTACCACATAGCAATCTTTATTGAATTCGAACTTTTCAAAAAGAATTTTACCTTTCAAAAACTAATCCGACAATCTTACGGTTGACACAGGAGCCTACCCTCATTTAATTAAGTTTAGTATTTTCTTTGAAACTGTACAAGATGAATACTCCACATTGAAACAATTAATAAAAATTTTAAAGCCTATAAGACCGGTTATTTTAAAATTTTAGAAAAAAGTAAAGCGATCTATAACCTTAACGTTGGGTACATTCTAGTTTCTGTAGGCAAACTTGGTGAAAATAATTATACTATATCGTTTGGAAAAAGGAGGGTTATTATCGAAATAGGAGATCAATTAATGGCGCAGGGAAGTTAGATAAAGGGATCTACGTACTAGATGATAATAGATGTATTGCGCTCAATACAACAATATTATAAATGAAATAAATGAGCTATTAATAAAACGGAATGCCAGTTACAAGTATATGCGCTACCTCAATTCACATATAAAACCATTTACTCCCATCGATGTAATCTTCATATGTCTTGTAAAACGAAAAAACAAAAGGTGAGTAAGGTTATTGCCTCTCATCAAAGTCGACGATAAGGTGAACTACTTTACATTGATACACTACAGTGGACACAACTTCGTTTGACGGATATCGTTAAGTAATTGAAGGCTCCGATGCTTAACTGAAGCATGTAACGACATTATTTTCTAAAGATGAAGAAGAAATTATTAACTGGACTAGAACGCATAATATAATTTTGAAGAAATCCAAACTTACTAACAATACACAAACCGCCATATTACAAGAAATTCGCACAAATAAGGGATCCTTCAGAGTACCATTAAACAAAGAAGGGGTAGCCACACCACGACTCCTACTAAGCGACTCTGAAAAGAAAAGATCTTATGACCAAAATACTATTGGAGTTGGAATCAATAAGACAAGACAACAATGAAGTTTTGATTATATCATATTTAAATTTTAACGAAACAAAGCAAAGTGATAATAAAATAAAACATATGGAAGCAGCAAAAAATGGGAGGAGGAACTACTCTCACTTTTACGACATAATAGTTTTGAAATCAAATATATACAAGATATACCGCCTGATGAATAAATAATAACTACTACAAGGCGATTACAATTAAAAATAATTCATAAAGCTAGATTAACGGCACGTAGTTTTCAATAACAAGAGGACAGAGATTATCAAGGTTTTTTCACCGGTACCACCCTGATGAGATACCTACAGATTCCCATTGCTTTATCAAAAAAAAAAATTAATAATATGCCAATTCGAGTGGCTGACATAACCCCAGCTTTCTTATACAAACGAAATTACTAAAACCTATAGACGTTCATGTTCCACAAAATTATATCTTAAAAATTACCTCAATTCTCTACAAGGAGGGCTTTGAGAAAATCACTATAACAAAGAAATTAGAGGTGCGCTACAAATCTATGTGGTATTACATGGTCTAAAAGAGTCCACTAGATTATTTCATAAAGATTTTGCTAAAAGACTCCAAAAACACATATATCCAAAGCAATTTGATAACTGTTTTTACAGTAAAATCATGATACCATAATTGGTATAAATGTCGTTGATTGTATAATACTTATAAACGCAGCAACATATCTAAAAAATAATACAGAAGGTATAAAGCTTTTTACTAGAATACTAGGAGTTGGCATAGCTGATAAAAATGCTTTGATTACTATGACCCAGATAAATTTAATTGAGACGTTGGCCTTAAAATTTAATATAAACAAAAAGAAAACGCATGTTGCACCTCTCCCCCCTTAAGTTAAGACCATTGGGTGCCGAAATAGCCAAAAATGTTAATAAATTATAGCATAATGGATTCTTTACGCAACATTGCCGATACCATCTCCTATGCCACTACATTTAATGCAGATTACTGCACAACAATGGCAGTCTTCATATTAAGATGGCAAAAGAAGTTTTAGGCTATTTACACCAAACTAGAAACTTACAGCTCTCTTCTTTTAACGGGATAACCGAAGAGCAGAATATATTAATAGAATGATACTCGGTCCTTCATGGGCTAACAACTTTGATATGAGATCTACAATGGGATATATAAAATTTACTAATGGCAATCCCATACATTTGCGTTCTAATGTTGATAAAAGCAAAATACAAAAAACTACATGTGAAATCAGGTACATAGCCCTTAGTAAGATGATAACGGATACCATTGCTATAGAAAATGCAATACACCCGGGAAAAAAATAATAACACAATTTTACACGGACAATGAGACTCTTAAATATATTATGGTAATGCCTCAACTAGAATACTACGACATGTTGATATTGCTTAACACAACGTCATTCAAGATTGTAAAGAGATTACTTTTTAAGACATGTAATGGCCAAAGAAATGTTGCAAAAATTTTTACTAAACTTTATCCATACAAAAGCATAAACCCTTTGCTTGATGTTTTATTTAATAAAACAATGATATAAGGTTATAACAAATGAAACCGTGGGCCTTTTTTAATGGAATCTTTCCTGAGATGTTCTCGATCAGTTTTAATTCTTTTTTTTAGCACTGGCGTACTGCGGCCGGCCTTCTCACTAAGACCTTAAGCCACTTAATCTGAATTCCCCTCTTCTGCAGGGGTTGGAGCACGAGAGCCCTCCAGTGAACGCCCTTTACAGAGCTATAATGGCTGTCCCGAAGGACTGATAAAGCAGGAAAATCGGTCCCGGACTCCCGCTATTTGGCCTAATGTGGTAGAAAATTGCTAAAAACCACCACTGAGAGAAGCAACCTTAGGCATAAGACCCAAAGCCTCCTGTAGGCGGCGACCAGCAACACTGCCAGCCAGGCCTCCCTGCCTATAAGCTCTTTTCAGAAGGGAGGAGCCTTATATGGATGTAGGCGTAAATGAATCAATTAACCTGTTTCTGCTTCTTTCCTACTTCACATCATTGGCGTAGGCGCTGTAGTTAATATATACTACACTACGCGTACTAACATATTAAAAAATGAGGAAAAGCTTATTACCAAAAGTGTTGCATGTTAAAAAGCCTTATTGTGCAGCACATGTCAAACCGGTATTCGAGAAAATAGTTCTGTTCTTTGATGCAAGCGCTGGCTACTTAGATAATACTTTAGCTACTTCGCCTTCCTGTTTCGTTCCAAGAGCTACAGAGACTTTCGACATGAAACTTAAAATAAATGTTAAGTTGTATTATTTTTCTAATTAAATTAATCTTCCCTTTCGTAATATTGTCTAGTCTTTTTAAGATACTGTAGATATTATTTAGTAGAAATTGTAAGCGTTCGGGAGTTTAAACTTATTACTTTCCCTTCCACCAATGGAGCCCTTGAGACAGTTCTGATACTTAAGTGACGAACAATTGGGAGCCCGTTATCAATTTAATGTTTGTGAGGCGAGTATAGAGAAAGTTTTTTAGGTTTTTCTTAAAATAAAGTATTACGCTAGTGAATTAAAACGACCAGAAAAAAGCATTACTTGTGTAATGTTGCTAGTGCTTAGTCGAGGGTAACATGAGTCGTATACGTATTTTATCGATCGAAGATGTGAGTCGTCACCGTAACTCAGTGGTTAGAGCATTGTAGCGCAATACAAAGTCGCGAGTTCGTTTCCCAGTGAGCCAAATCTGATTTTTCTGGTCTTGTGGTTACGTGTACAACTTAGCTAAATAACAAAATTCTGATTGGGGGGATAAACACGTGATACTTTGCATATACCCCTTCCACGTGACTTCCACAGGCCCGTTTTCTGTTCATCTTTAGTACGTAACTACTAATTGTAGATACACCTAACATAACTTTGTGTTAACCATAACATTATTATATAAAATCCTTTCTGCCATAATTTTTTTAACTTTTTTTTCCCTCCTTGAAGACCAAACATACTTTACAAAGAAAAGTTTACTAATATCACGGAAAGTGGAAGCAACAAAAAGTATAATTGGGATATAGACTTAATACTCTTTTTTTTGGTTCACATATCTAAAATATGGTAATTTATTATCGTTTGTCACCACAACTTTATAAGGGAGACCTGTTAAGGTGCGATTGATGCACAATTATGGTTTACAGGTTCCCAGTTTTTTCTATATGCTTATGAAGAGTAAGCTGTTCAGGATCTTCTAAAGCTTTGTGCTAGGGTAAAAAAATTTCTTCTCTTCCTCTTTCTCTGAGACCCTTAAGATGCCAAATGCCCCTAGGATTTGATTCTCAGGCTACTCAGGTGTTAAAAAGTCTAACAAAATTTAGAAGGAAGGCAAGAACAAAAAAACAGGGTTTAGTGTATTAAGGATTCGACATATATATTACTTTTTCACTTTAATATTGTCCGGATTCCCATAAATTCACGTTAAAGTCGGTTGAGCATATTTGCATATTAATGAATTGACTAAATTATACCCTGTCGATATGTTTAATTTTATATTATCCTTGTATTTACGGTGTTGCATAATGGTATGGATCCAATCATTCTTGTCAGGTCTGTTGCATAATTATGTCTATGGACAGAGTTTGTAGATGATTGTACTTAATAAATTTATTTTTTCCAAGAAATTCCGTGAAAATGCAGCTTAGTGAAATTCACGGTCGAGATTTTTTGGGATCGAGGTTAACACACCATCCTCAATGGTCGAAAGAGAGAGGTCATGTAGGTGGAGACGGCGCCATGCCTTGAGTACTCGCGTCAATGCTTTTAACTGAGCTACGACAACTCTTGACCTGATATGTTGGGTTTACGCATTTAACCTGTAAAACTCTACTGGAGAACGCCGCGCCTTTGAGGTGGTTATATAAATATGCAGATACAACAAAGTTAATATAGCTTTTCCCTGATATTTTATTATTACTGACGCGCTGGACTGCAAAGCTACTTATTTAACCCTATTTAACTTCCATACTTTTTTTTTAACTTTATTCTTTCAAGAGATCTGTAAAGTTTTTCATTTTCGTTTCTTATCATCAATATCTAGAATAAGAGGTTAGTTAGATTATTATAATAGTAACTATAATAAACAATTAAATAAATAAGATAACGTTTACATATTAAAGGTTTAATGAAGCCCTTGTACAATCTAGAAAAAAAGCTTTTTTTTTTAAGACACTTCTTTGTTAAGATTTCCTAAACGTGCAATGATATAACGTGTGCATCGTATTTATTATAATTGTACATACTAATTTTAATTTTTTTTAATCTTCTCCGTCAAATACCTTTTATATGTACAATTAATTATCTTAAGTTGTACTTTTTTATTTCTTATAAACCCAACTGACCTAATAAGAGTTTGTATCGTAGTATTTTCTTATGAGTTTACGAAGGCAGCGCATTTATGAAGGGAAACGCAACTAATTCTGGCCACAAATAGGGCTACCTTATATAAAACCTATGAACTTTATTAATTGAAATTGAAGCCAATCACAAAAAAAGTTGGCGATATTAATTTTTTATAGGATACACGCTTTGCAGTGCATGACGACTAGCGAGCTCAGACTCTTGCCAGTTTAGTCAGACCAGTTACGAAAACTTTTATTTTTCTTATAAATCCTAAAGAGTTGTCAATGACTGGAATGCTGAGAATTCGAAATTTTGATTGGTCGCCCTCGACTCACTGAGTGTGCACGTAAATAGGACTAGCAGTTGACTGCTAGCCCTTTAAAGTTAAATTCAAAAGATCCACTCGAGGTCTTGGTAAAAAAAAATTAACTTGAAAGAGAAACAATTTTAGCAAAGTTTGCAAATTTATAAACAGAACAAAAAAAGATTTTAAAAAAATACATTTAGTTAATAAATTTTATTGATAAATTAAATATTTTTTAAAAAAGTAATATTTACTTGTAAGTATAAATAATAATTATTTTATACTCAATATATTATGTTTTTATAATAATTTAGTGTTTAGAGTGATCCATACACTCGAACCCTCTAATATCTATCTAACAAAAATTTCAACTTGAACGATGAAAAAAAAAACTGTAGTGGAATAAAAGTTACTTAACCTTATTTGATACTTCTGAAACGGAAACCTCGACTTTCTTGATTTCATCTTTCAATGCTGCAGATTTTTTATCCTAAAAAAGCGTAAACAAGTTAAAAAAAATAAGATCTTATATAAAGTTGATCATAGGTGACTATTATAAACCAGCTCGAGTATGTTGGTTCGCTTTTTGCTTTCAGAATTGCTTAATTCTTGAACCTGGAAGTAGAAGGCAGTTATGCTTTTAAAAAGTTAACAGGAAATTAAATAAATATTAAATTAAAATAAAATTAGCAAATATGTAAAATTACTTAAAAAGGTTTTTTTTATTCAAATAATCACTACCAGTTTAAATCTGAATTTTTTAAAAATGCTCTTAAATTAAAGGAGCCTCGAATAAATGTTACCTTATTTAACTAACGCATCAAATATACCGCCTTAATTTTTTAAACTAATTTATTTTTTATAATTTCATTTTAAAAAGTTTTCGAAACAAATTTAAGAGGCTAAACGGGTAACATAAAAACAATAACAAAGTAATTACGGTTAATTAAAAAACTTTTAATTTAAGTTACAACAGAAAAGTGAACTAAAAAAGTTATTCGAAAACAATCTACTTACATAATTAAACTTTATTTTTCTTTAAACAATAAAAATTTTAAAAAAAAAGTAAATTTCAATGAACTTTTAATTTCCTAAAGCTCTATGAATAATATGAAGTACAAATTAAGATCAATTAGCTTTAAAAAAAAATTTAAAAAAATAATGACTTCGCTCGAATTACTTTTATTAAAAAATATATTTGATATATTAATAGAAATATAATAATTTAAAGGTAATAAATTAAAAAAAAACCAATAATGATATAAATAGTTATATAAAAATATTAGACAAAAAAAACTAAAATCGCTAGTGAGTCTCAGTTAACAAAAATAATATAACTGACGTACTATTAAATAGAAGCGAAAAAAAAAAAGAATTTACTTTTATTCACCTAAAGAAGATCTTTAAGTTTTAAATAAAAAATTAAGTGTCGAATAAAAATATTTTTTATTATAATAAATTTTAATAAACAAAATTAATTATAAAATTTGCTGTTCTACATCCGAAATAAAATATTTTCTAAGTTATTTCGTAAATACATTTTAAATTTTGTAAGAAGTTTTTAAGAGTTGAACTATATAGAAATATAGTTTAAGTAATTTAATAAACAGGCAAAGTTGTGGTTTCAAAATTTGCAGTGTTTTTTTCATACTAATCCAAAAAAGTTAATATAGTTTCTTGCGAGTCTAAACAATCCATTTATTTCTTAATAGAAATTGAGAACATATGCACAACTTAATTTAAAAAAAATAAACTTTATACATATTATAATTTATATAATGATAAATATAAAAACAATAGAGGTTATAAAATTTCTTAAGTTTCTATAGAGATTTAATTTGCTTTTGCATTAAAATAATAAAGTTAACTTCTTTAACTTAATTAATAAAATTAGAATCTCCCATATATTTAAAATTAGGAAGAGTAAGTAGTTCCTACAATATAATATTTTTTTTTTGAAAAAAAAAATTTTGAAGAATGTAATTTATAAAAGAAAAAAGTTTAAAAAAACAAAACACATGATTTTAAGTAGATTAAAATAACTTGAAAAAAGTATTTTACTATTATATTCTAAATTTAAAAGTAAAAAGTATAAAATATATAATATATACAAAAAATAATACTATACGCGGATTATAAACTCAAGGAGAGTAATAATAATTAATGTTACATAAGTTATGACAATAAAAATAAAATATGTCAATAATTAAATTTAAAATAGAAATTAACAAGCAAGGACCTAAAGAAAGTTAACACTTTCATAAATAAATTCGTTTGCAGTAACTGCCGCAAAGATATACTCTTAAGTTAAAATTTTTATGTAAGCATTTTTTCCATGCATAAGAATTTAAAGAAAAAGTATTTGCTTATCAAAAGCGGGAAAATTGACAAACCGCTAACCTTATGTTTATTTGATAAATTCTTTTTTTTCGTATATAAATTTTTAAAATTTATATATAAATGATAATTGTAGACATTAAAAAGTAATCGAGGGATTATTATTATTTTTATGCCCATCTTCATTGCTTATATACGACTAAAATATGAAATAATAAAAAGTTGAAAGAGAAGTCAGCCCCAGTTTAGACCTCTTTTTCAAGAGGTTCCAGAAATTTTTGTTCTTTACTTAGAAATGCCTTTAATTCCGAGACTTTTTCTTCCAGAGTGGCGATCTTTTTGATCTCTAATAATCAATATATAAGATAATAATAAAAAAATAATACAATAGTATATATCTTCATATCGACTACGTAAAATCTTCGTGAGATATAGAATTTTAGATAAAAAAAGGTTGTAAGTTATTATAAACTTACCTTTATGTGGCTGCTTGTTAGCAGCTTCAATAACTGTTTCAAGTTCCTTTTCCTTTATATGTAAAAGAATAAATGTTACTACATTATCGCAATAGTGACCCGTACCTTAACCTTAACTTCTTCTAAACTCAGACTTAAGTATCGAATTTCTTCATCATTTCTATTAATAGTCTCTATTGTAGAGTTGAGCTTTTCATCTTCTGAAAACATTTATCAAACATAAGTAAAAGATTTGGAGCAAAGGGGAGTAATTAACTTTTAACATCTAAAGTATAACTCTGGATGACGTTCACTAAACTTACTTTAGTCCTTAAACTTTTTTAGTTATTAAAAATGACAAATTTCATAAATATAAAACTATTAACTTAAACAAAAATCATTCCTAATATATAAAAAACAGAACAAAACGTCGCAAGTCCTTAGTATCTCAAACCTCCAATAAAATAGTCATAACTTTTAAATTATCTTTAATAACCATTTTATTTTTGATTACGTAATAACATATTTACGAGTCTCATTTGTAGTCGTTCCACACATTTCAAAGTACCACTACTCCTTATAATAGTAACAAGGGCCAACAAACTTATATCTCTGGGATTTACCACCGATAATACCTAAACACCGCTGCCTTTTTCTACTAAAGAACTATTATAATTCGAAGGCCTACTTATAACTACGAGCGTAGAAGGCTTCTAACAACGTACTCGGAAAAGTACTAGTAACCACAAGATTGATGAAAAACATCTACTTAAAATAATATAAAAGGTGTGTAAAAAGAAACAATTAGGTTTTTTTTTTAATACTGCTCTGGGAAAATAATTTGAATCCAGACATCTATAAATAACCCTTTGCGTCAAGCAAGTAATGCCAAGAAGTAACCGCTTTTAAAGAGAAAAAAAATAACGCCCCCTTCTATAAACCTTGAGAAAAGTCCGATAATTTTATAAGCTCTTGTCGAAGTTTACCTACTTGTTCTTCATATGACTTTTTTTGGGTATGAAACTAATTGTTATAATAAGTACTAAATAACCAAAAAACTTTACAATAGAAATTAACTTTTTCATCTAATAAGTTTAACGCCTTTTTCTTATGTTCTAGAATAGCTTCTCCTTCTTCTAGTTCTTCCAACTTGTTCTCATACTCTGCACGTGCATCTTCATTTTGGTTAATCAAAGTTCGGCGGAGATTAGAGAGTTGTCTGTTGCTGCCGACTTCTTTCATATACTATAAGAATAAAATTTTACAACTAATTTTACAACAAAAAAGTGACACAGAAGAGCCCCTCTATCTCAATACCAAATTTTTGAAAAACCAAATCAGCAAACCAAAAATATAGCTATTTTCTCAGTAACAGAGAAGATAATAGATAGGAAACTAGTTAGGCATACAAAGGCACGAAACTCTGTTAAAGCTTCGAAGTTAACTTTTCCCTCCTGTACATATAAATACAAAATTGAAAATAACTATATAGTCCACTATTGGATATAAAGATGCAGTCAAGGATCACCGAAAACATGACGTCCATTAACTTGTTAAAATTTTCATCCTTCTTAGCTTGTTCTCTTAATTTCTAAAGTAAGCACAAACAATATTTTACTATTATTTAAACAAATATTTCAAGAACGTAAAATTTCTAAGTATACTTGTTTTTGCGTTCTTTGAAATTCCAGCCTTCTAGCATTGCGAAGTTCTTCTCTTTCCCTCTGCCTTTTCCTCTAAAAAGTTTATAAATATAAATAAATATTCTTTATACTACCTTAAAAACTATATAATACTATCTCTTCTTGTGCTCTTAGGTAGGACATCCCACATAATTCTTAGAAAAAACACCTATTATAGAAAAATAGTTAAAAATTCTAATTAATAAAAGGAATCGGAAGAAGAAAGTTATAAGATGCAAGAATATTGATTTTAAATACCTCAAGTTAACCTTTTTACTCTGTTTAATTGCTTTAAAAAATTGAAATTTTAAAAAATTTAATCTAACTAATCAAAAACCGACCGAAAAATTTTAATAGTAAGTACTATTACAACTTTCCTAACTGACTTTTTAAAATAAATATTGTTATCACAAAAACTGAAAACCAAATTTTGTACTATGCCTACCAAGTATTTAAATACCCGAGAGCATATAAGGAATAGCGTGCTATTGCTTTGTGTTTATCTTGTTAAAAAAAGTTCTATTGTATATGGTTAGTAAAATCTTCTCTGACCGAAAGGTACTATATATGCACTATTATGAAAATACATACTCAGTACGGCTTACGTTAAAGTTCAAAGTACGTCATGGTACTGCCTTAAAGTTAAATTTCCGCCACATTAAAAAGTACGCTCGCAGATTATTAAACCCATTAACAGGCAAAAATAGATTTTTTTTACGTTCAATAGTAACTAAATTTACCACTTTTTATGTTTTGTTGGTTGCTGCCTAATCCGTCAGAACATGGTACTCAAACTTACCAGAGATTGTTTCAGAGATCGAGCCCGCCGTTTGGGCCAATTTCCAGACCTACTCTTGCAATTTGAACCTAGGCGACAAAGGGTGATAATAGTAACCAGTAGCCTATAAGGGTTTAAGATATCGAATCTTACCAGTTACAACATCGAATCGCCCAATTGTTTCTTAAGGCTCTGTGAATATAAAATTTTACTTACTCATCTAAGTCGTTTAAAGACCCCGCTTATATTCTAGCAAAAAATAAATTAAAATAAATTTTGTATAAAGGGGATTTGTATAATTTTATCTAATACGCGAAGGACTACTATAAAATAAAGTATGAGCGCAGTTACCTATTACTATCACTTAACTTGGTATTTTCAATAAAAACAAGATTATATGCACCTTTCTTGCTATGTGAGACGTTGCTTCGCAACAAACCTTATAGTTTAGGTAATCCTTTCTAAACTGACTTTTTTATGTCGTTTTTCACTAATTTACCTGGGAACAAATTATTATAGTTGGTATAAATTTCAATAAAAGACATCCTGTATCATTATAGAAGTTTTAAATTTTATATTTAATTTTATTAATATAAATAAGTTCGTCTTTTGTGGATGCGATGTAAATGAACGTAAAGTAAGTGATTTTCAATGCCTCGTAAAAGGGAAACATTGAGCTATTGGGCAAAGAAACAATGGTTATATGTTAATAATACAAAAAAGATGTGCTTGCTATTAAAGTCCCCAAGAAGAAATTAGTAGCCCCAGATCTGCCTCTTAAGTAAATTTTTTAAACTTATTTTGTTTGTGAAAAAGTATAAGCCACGTCGGATCCCAAGGAACTAAAAGGTAGTTCCTTTGTGAAAAGGTTCTGTCTTAGATCAATAACCTACCTTACTCAGGTAAAATTGTTTCTTTTTGACTCTTTATCAACTGAGGAGTTAGGCCACTAGTTTTTTTAGTAAAAGCTTCCGAAAGAGTGTCATGATTATTTCGAAAGCAAGGAAAAACAGCGAATTATTCATCGCCACCCCCCACTATTTGGCATATTTGAAAAACCGTCATATACCATTTAAATAAGGGTAGTTAATTGGTATTTTTAGCCTTCTAGACTGAGGCGGCTTCATGTTAAGAGAGATTTTGAGGCGAAGATAAAACACACAACTGTAAAAGATTAACATTTATGGTAACAATAAAATTACAATATTTATTCAGTTATATGCCCTACGGATGAGGTTGCTCTATCTTGAACGTCCTTCCGTTATAATAGACAAAGGTAGAGAGGATACTGATAAGGTATTTTTAAAGAAGAGATGAATCAAACACGCAAGTGCCTAACAAGGTGAATCGTAAATTTATCATACCAGAATTAAGAGTTGTCGTAGTTCAGTAATAAAAGATATTTAGGCGTTAATCAAAGCCACAATTTCGAAATTCACTGGCAGATATCTTTTTAGATCTTTGATGGTTAGTGAATTTAATCCTTCCACCCCTTCCACCCCCTTTCATAAATTCTGACAAAATAACGGTCGAAAAAGAGAGTCGTGTCAATGAACTCAAACTCATTCCAGAGTTTAAAGTTCGCCATTACCGCGCTTCGAAAAAAAATTCTCAATTAGGCCATGTGTGGGTTCAAAATTAATTGATAAGAACTTTTGAAAAGTTGATATCTTTAGCGCAATACGTTTCTCGTGTCTACCTTCACTTAAGAAAAATGCCAAACTTACTATGTTTAAAAAAAACTTTTTAGTATCTAAAATTTTTTACCCCCTTTTTATTTGTCATAAACGATTCAAAGTTTATAACTCTAAAATAAGTAGCAAAGGCAACTGTTGCCACCTTAGTTATAATAAAAAGATTTGCAGCCAAAGGGCCTATGATAAAACTTTAAAAGGATTCCATGTAAATTTATTTCCAAAATACCTTTTACACCTACCTTCAGTTACCTTAAAATATTTAAAAATAAATCAGCCACAAAATTTCTTTAAGTTTAACACAGTTAGCTCAACCTTTAAATTTCTACATAGAGAAACTAGTAGAATCTATAAAGCTTCATGTCGACTCATAAAAGCTTGTCACCTTATTCATAAGAAAAATTTCATCAAATTTACTATACAGATTCTAATAGGCTATTTATGTTGTTTTACAGTTTTTCTTCTCCCTGGATTAATAACTATGGTATATTAATTTTTGAGGCCAATTTTTAAGCACTAGATATTCTATTTTATTCAAAGAACATAGACTAAAAATAAATTTAAATGTTTAACTAAGCAGTTTTTTTTAGTAACTTTTTAGTAAAATGTGATATTTTGTAAATTAGATGCAGAGTACCAGCAAAGAAATCCCTGGCGCTACACAAAGCTCATTTGAAATTAGTGCTTTTTATAAACTTCACTTACATTCGCGTGGCGATCGAAATTACTTTTGTTTACTTGAAGATCTTTTTCATATATCTCTGATAAAAACTTGGTGGTACATCTGATTTTATATCTTACTTAATACTAGACTATTGCGAAGTTATTCTTTTATAGGACCATCGAAGTATTGCTGGGCTCATTTACTTATCTCTGCTCAATATCCTCTTCTGATAAACCCATTGTTACTTTTTTTTTGTCCCCTCTTTCTTCTGCACTCATCGATTTGTTTTTTTTAAGATGGCTTAGTTTTTCAAGTATTAAAAATTTTATATATTCAGAAAATAGTAAACTTCAAAGTTTTACGAATTTTAAAGGTAATATTGAAGACGAAAACTTGTCGTATGCACCTTTTTTTTGTGGTTCTATAGAGAGCAAACGAAGCGAAGCTGATAAAGACTATAATCTGACTGAGTGTCTTAAGCTTCTTGAAGAAGTAGCGTTGTATCGCAAAAAAATAAAACATAAAAGCAGCAAAGAAACCGATTTTAACGAGAACTATGAAGATAAAAAGATATACGATAACATTTTTGACATAAATAGAGAAAACCGGAAACTTTATTACTATTTGAAAAATTATTATATACAATTTAAAAAAACTTTTAACTTTAAAAAAGAGTACAAGCCAATGCATAAAGTATTTTCTCCATATTTAATGGTTGACGTCCGTTCTTTCGTGGAAGAAAGTGTATTAAAAACTACATCCGAATTCCTGAGAACTCATACTTTTGAAAACTGCAATAATTTACACACTGCACACAGATGCGACCTTACGAACGTGCCTAGCGGTAGGGTTAACCCTAACGTAGCCCTGCTTGACAGCCAGTTGTCTCAAATTGGTTCGGCTATGAATAGACTAGTCTTAATTGCTCAGCGCTGTAAAGAGCTTGGGTTCACTTTACTGCTTGATACATGTAATGTTTCCCCGAGATGCGTTGAGGCGGTCGATTATATAACGTTTTTATTGTCTTACCGCTTCAACAAAAATGAATTTCTTATTTTCCAAACCTATAGTATCGAAAGCGCTAAAGATTTAAAGCGCCTTAAAAGTCACTTATCTCATTTTAATTGCTCAGGCTTGCATTGGGGGGTGGTTTTAACTGAAAAGAAGAAAAACAAGCCTTTCACTTATGATTATATGCTCCATAACCCATCAGTGAGTCTTCGTAAAACTGAAAGCATAAATTTCTTTCGTCAAGCTCTTGATATCTTAATTCCTCTAGACGGGGAAAAAAATATGAAATCTTTAGCAGGTGACCTTTATCACGATGATAATGCAGAGAGAATGATCACTAGAACTAGCGACCTTACTTCTCAAATGAAATTAATATTTTTTGTCTCAAGTATTTCTTTGTGTAAAGATATATATGAACGCGTGAGTTCATGTCATACGTTGATTGAGTCTACAACTAACAAAGAAAAAGTTCGGGTAAGCAAATTCATATTTCTTACATTATATGGCCTCAACGACCTTCTGAGCTTGGTCCTTCGTAGTATGGTTAAAAATAATAATTTTACTGATTATGTCGAGGATAAAAAAGGCGTGGGTTCATCTGATGAGTTTAGTGAGAAATACAATCCGACTAAATCCGTAACTCCCCCACCTGAATTTAACATTATTAAACTTACACCCATTGGAAGCGTTTCCGGAAGAATCAGTTATATATACTCTCTTCTAGCTGAAAACAGCGGTCTTTTTATTGATAACTTGGATCGTATGACTTTTGACGTACCAAAGTGAGCGCTATGACGTAATATAAGCTTTTTTAGGGGGGCACTATAAATTATTAGGTGTCTTGCGGTCGAAAAAGAGGAGTTAGTTTTTAAGAAAATGGCACGATTCCGTATTTATATTAATTAAATTTCTGTTATCATTATAATTTAGTACTTTAGCGAATTGTCGATCTCATAAATTAGTTAAATTAATGGTTTCGCACTTATTTCTAATAAAGCACGGAAGAACAAGTTAAAATGGCCTCAAATTATTTCATTTTTACTCTGATACGTCCACAAGGGTGTAATTCAACAAAGAGCTTATTAAACTTGACTCGACTCTAAGCTAAAATTTTGAAGAAAGTTCCTCCTGGATTAAACTTATATATTTACTCCTTACCTTTTTCACTTTCCCGTCGTAGACTTTTTCTCTAGAAGATTGTAAGTTGCTGACGCGGGATAGAAGGGGCGAACCCTGTTTAATTATATACTCCAACTGCTCAATAGAAAACAATACAACATAGAGACAAAATACCAGGGAACTTTGTTAACTATTAAAATTATAAAAAAGAAAATTATATTAATACCGAATTGAAAACTCACAACTAATAAAAACACAGAAATCCTGCTTTAAAAATTTTAGCCTTTCACCTCTACTTAAACGCTATAACTCTGTATTACATCAAATAAGTGATGGTCACTAGAATAACAACGCTGCGTACAAACATTGAGATAAACTGAATTACAACATACAAAAATTTAAAAACTTTTGTTTAGATTATATATACAGACGTACTGAGGGATTAATAAGTAGCCACTTGAGTGCATCTCATTTTCCTTTAATAAGGCCTCTTTAATTGTTCTCATTTTCGTATTTAGCAAACTTTGAACCTACAAAAGTTT